CAGCTCACTGTAACCTCCGCCTCCCAGGTTCAAACAATTCTCCTGCCTCAGCCTCCCAAGTAGCTGGGCCTACAGGCGCATGCCACCACGCCCAGCTATTTTTTTTTGTTTTTCTACTAGAGACAGTGTTTCACCATGTTGGCCAGGATGGTCTCGTTCTTTTGACCTCGTGATCCGCCCACCTCGACCTCCCAAAGTGTTGGGATTACAGGTGTGAGCCACTGGGCCCGGCCATTAAGAGGGAAAATTTAAAAACTCCTTGAAACATACAAAAATGGAAAAACAACATACCAAAACCGATGGAATACAGGAAAAGCAGTACTAAGAGGAGACCTTAGAGCAATAAGTACCTTTATCAAAAAAGTAGAAAAACTTCAAATAAACAACCAAATGATGCTTTTTGAAGAACTAGAAAAGAGCAAACCAAACCCAAAGTTAGTATTAGAAAAGAAATAATAAGGTGGCTCACGCCTATAATCCTAGCACTTTGGGAGGCTGAGGCAGGTGGATCACCTGAGGTCAGGAGTTCATAACCAACCTGACCAACATGGTGAAACCCCATCTCTAATAAAAATACAAAAATTAGCCAGGCATGGTGGCGCATGCCTTTAGTTCCAGCTACTTGGGAGGCTGAGGCAGGAGAATCGCTTGAACCCGGGAGGCGGAGGTTGCAGTGAGCTGGGATTGTGCCACTGCACTCCAGCCTGGGCAACAGAGCAAGACTCCGTCTCAAAAAGAAAATAAATAATAAAGAGCAAGAGCAGAAATAAATGAAATTGCAATTTAAAAAATTCAGAAGATCAACAAAATGAAAAGCTGGTTTTTTGAAAAGAACAAAATTGACAAACCTTTAGCCACACTAAGAAAAAAAAGACCCAAATAAGTAAAATCAGAGATGAAAAAGACCTTACAACTGATATCACAGAAATTCAAAGGATCATTAGAGACTACTATGAGCAGCTATATGCCAATAAACTGGAAAACCAGCTGGGTGCAGTGGCTCATGCCTGTAATCCTGACACTTTGGGAGGCTGAGGCAGTGGACGCTTGAGGTCAGGAGTTCAGGACCAGCCTAGCCAACATGGCGAAACCCTCTCTACTAAAAATACAGAAATTAGCCGGGCATAGTGGCGCATGCTTGTACTCCCAGCTACTTGGGAGGCTGAGGCGGGAGGACCACTTTGAACCCGGGAAGCAGAGGTTATAGTGAGCAGAGATCGTACCACTGTACTCCAGCCTGGGTAACAGAGTAAGACTCCGTCTCAAAAAAAAAAAAAACCAAAAAAAAAAAACCAAAAACAAAACTACAGGCTAATGTCTCCAATGAACATTGATGCAAAATCCTCAACAAAATACCAGCAAACAAAATTCAACAACACATTAAAAATATCATTCAGTCAGGGCATGGTGGCTCACACCTGTAATCCGAGCACTTTGGGAGGCTGAGGTGGGTGGATCACTTGAGGTCAGGAGACCATCCTGGCCAATATGGTGAAACCCCATCTCTACTAATAATACAAAAAAATTAGCCGGGCATGGTGGCGCACACCTGTAATCCCAGATACGCAGGAGGTTGAGGCAGGAGAATCGCTTTAATCCAGGTGGCAGAGGCTGCACTGAACCGAGATCAGGCCACTGCACTCCAGCTTGAGTGACAGAGCGAGATTCTGTCTCAGTACAAAAAAAAAAAAAAAATAGGTACTTCAGCCAGGTGTAGTGACTCACACCTGTAATCCCAGCACTTGTGGAGGCCAAGGCGGGTGGATCATCTGAAGTCAGGAGTTCAAGACCAGCCTGGCCAGCATGGTGAAACCCAGTCTCTATTAAAAATCCAAAAAAATTAGCTGGGCATGGTGGCAGGCCCCTGTAATCCCAGCTACTTGGGAGGCTTAGGCAGGAAAATCGCTTGAACCCGGGAGGCAGAGGTTGCAGTGAGCTGTTATCACCCCATTGCACTCCAGCCTGGGCAACAAGAGCGAAACTCTGTCCCAAAAAAAAAAAAAAAAAAAAAAAAATTCATTCATCATGACCCAGTAGGATTCATTCCAGGGATGCAAGGATGGTTCAACAGGATGGTTCAACACAGGCAAATCAATCAATGTGATACATCATGTCAACCAAAGGAAGAACAAAAGTCATCTGATCATTTCAATGGATGCTCAAAAAGCATTTGATAAAATTCAACATCCTTTCATGATAAAAAAAAAAAACCCTCAAAAAAATGGGTATAGAAGGAATATACTTCAACACACACACAAAAAAGCCACATATAACAGACCCACAGCTAGTATCATACTGAACAGGGAAAAAACGGAAAACCTTTCCTCTGAATTCTGGAACACGATAAAGATACCCACTTTCACCACTGGTATTCAACATAGTGCTGAAAGTCCTAGCTAGAGCAATCAGTCATGAGAAAGACATAAAAGGTATTCAAATTAAAAAGGAAAAAGTAAAATTATCCTTGTTTGCAGACGATACAATCTTTTTTTTTTTTTTTTTTTTTTTTTTTTGAGACAGAGTCTCGCTCTGTCGCCCAGGCTGGAGTGTAGTGGCCGGATCTCAGCTCACTGCAAGCTCCGCCTCCCGGGTTTACGCCATTCTCCTGCCTCAGCCTCCCGAGTAGCTGGGACTACAGGCGCCCGCCACCTCGCCCGGCTAGTTTTTTTGTATTTTTTAGTAGAGACGGGGTTTCACCGTGTTAGCCAGGATGGTCTCGATCTCCTGACCTCGTGATCCACCCGTCTCGGCCTCCCAAAGTGCTGGGATTACAGGCTTGAGCCACCGCGCCCGGCCCGATACAATCTTATATCTGAAAAAACCTAGATGCCACCAAAAAACTATTAGAACTGATAAAATTAGTAAAGTAGCAGGATACAAAATCAACATACAAAAATCATTTGCATTTATTTATTTAGAGACAGGGTCTCACTCTGTCATCCAGGCTGGAGTTCAGTAGCATGATCATGGCTCATTGTAACCTGCGCCTCTTGGACTCAAGTGATCCTCCCACCTTAGCCACCAGAGTAGCTGGGACTACAGGCATGCACCACCACATCTGGCTAATTTTTATATTTTTTGTAGAGACGGGGTTTTGCCATGCTGCCCAGGCTGGTCTTGAACTCCTAGGGCTTAAGTGATCCTCCCGCCTCAGCCTCCTAAAGTGTTGGGATTACAGGCGTGAGCCACTGCACACAGACTAAGATTTGAAATTAAAGTTCTTCAGAGTTGAATAAAAAATTGTCTGGCATTTGACCAAATGCAGTTTAAAAGCACACATTTGAAGAAGAGTTGAATGAGCATGAGATAAATAATGAATGAAAGGAAATAATTTAACCAGATATGAAAATCAAATTATTTTATTGTAAAAATTTATATAAAATAACTCATAAGGGCAACAGTTAAAAACAAGTTAAACAGAACTAACCAAACGTATAAGACATTTCAAATAAAAAATAATAAAAGTCTTGCTAGCTTGCTTGAAAGTATATCTCTTTTAGATATATAATACTTTATATCCTAGACTTAAAATTGTGATTTCCATTACACTTAATTAGTATATGAAATATTAAGTACTATTTTTAAAAGACAGGTTCTCAAACTCAAGGATTAACAAACATTTGCAAAGTGAGCACCAAAGTCTGTATATTTGTTAACAAAGACACAAATCCAGAATACAAAATCTATCTGAAATTAAGCAAATATCAAATTATTTAAATATGACTCCGCCTGTATAAAGAGAAAATTAAAATCTTAGTTTCACACACAGTTTTGCACACAATGGGTTTTGTCAGTACACATTTTTTTTTTTTTTTTTTGAGACAGAGTTTCGTTCTTGTCGCCCAGGATAGAGTGCAATGGCGTGATCTTGATCTTGGTTCACTGCAACCTCTGCCTCCTGGGTTCAAGGGATTCTCCTGCCTCAGCCTCCCGAGTAGCTGGGATTGCACACACCTGCCACCACACCCAGCTAATTTTTGTATTTTTAGTAGAGACAGGGTTTCACCATGTTGGGCAGGATGGTCTCAAACTCCTGACTTCAGGTGATCCGCCCGCCTTGGCCTCTCAAAGTGCTGGGATTACAGGCGTGAGCCAAGGCGCCTGGCTGTAAGTACACTTTTTTGTTTGTTTCTTTTGAGATGGAGTCTCCCTCTGTCGCCCAGGCTGGAGTGCAGTAGCTCGATCTCGGCTCACTGCAACCTCTGCCTCCAAGGTTCAAGCGATTCTCCTGCCTCAGCCTCCTGAGTAGCTGGGATTTGTACAGGCACGTGTCACCACGCCCGGCTAATTTTTGTATTTTTAGTAGAGAAGGGGTTTCATCATGTTAGTCAGGCTGGTTTTTTTTTTTTTTTTTTTTGGTTGAGACGGAGTCTCCTTCTGTCGCCCAGGCTGGAGTGCAGTGGCACAATCTCAGATCTCTGCAAGCTCCACCTCCCGGGTTCACGCCATTCTCCTGCCTCAGCCTCCAAGTAGCTGGGACTACAGGCGCCCGCCACCACGCCCAGCTGATTTTTTTTTGTATTTTTAGTAGAGACGGGGTTTCACCGTGTTAGCCAGGATGGTCTCAATCTCCTGACCTCCTGATCCGCCCACCTCGGCCTCCTAGCTGGGATTACAGGCGTGAGCCACGGTGCCCAGCCTTTCTTTTTTGATACAAAGTCTCGCTCTGTCACCCAGGCTGGAGTGCAGAGGCACTATCTTGGCTCACTGCAACCTCTGCCTCGCGGGTTCAAGCAATTCTCCTGCCTCAGCCTCCCGAGTAGCTGGAACTACAGGTGGCTGCTACCTTGCCTGGCTAATTTTTGTATTTTTAGTAGAGACAGAGGTTCACCATACTGGCCAGGCTGGTCTCGAACACCTGACCTTGTGATCTGCCCGCCTTGGCCTCCCAAAGTGCCAGGATTACAGGGGTGAGCTACCATGCCCGGCCTTGTCAGTAAACATTTTAAAAAAAACAAAATAACTCAGCCACCATTCCTTAAAGTCTTTGTACAAATATGTGCTAGAAACTAAAAGGACTTTTAATAATTTCAAGATTACATAGAAAAATACACTTTTTGTTGTTGAAATTACAAATAGTTTTGCTTTTGAACTTATAAACATTCTCGGGATTCAGTGCAAAGTTTCTGGAGAACAGTTTTATAAATATACTTAAACTTTTCGTAGAGGTGGGGTCTTCTCACTTGGTTGCCCAGGCTGCTCTCGAACTCCTGGGCTCAAGCAATCCTCTGGCCTCAGCCTCCCAAAGTGCTGGGATTACAGGTGCAGTTTCAATATTAATGTGGATTTTTCCCCCATTAAAAAAGGAAAGAATTCTATCTGAAAACCATACTTAGCAGAGTCCATTTTCCCCAGTAAGTTCTCCCTCAAAACCAGTCATAAGCTTTCACATATAAGCTCTTCCCACAACTATTTTGAAGAAAATTTGCTATTTCACATGTTCTCCTTACTCATTTAAAATGAGATTTTGTAGTTATTTGGTGACAAACTATTGTTTAGACGACTTTGTCCAAATATGTACTGATATCAGACAAAAAGTAAATATCTGCAAATATCTGAGGCTATCTCAATTTAAACAACAAGAATTTTATTTACATGACGATCACAGGTAACTGTTGATTCAAATAAGACGTTCTGTGTTGATTAATGCCATTACTCTACAAATAGTCCTTTTACAAAGCTACGTTCAAATTTCCCATGCCATGCATTTCACAACGAGGACCTGGATTCAGGTAGTAGGTTAGAAAGCCTATGATCAATCATGACAAGCTGACTTTGACTAACAGTCATCCCGTTAAAAAAAAGAAAGCCACAAACATGTGCTTTCTTGCCCCTTTCTGGACAGCAACCAGTCACAGAATATTTTAGGATATATTGCATAGAATGGCTCCCTCAAACAAATCAGTCCTCCGGAAGCACAGGATAAAAAGAATGTTTGGGAAATATTTTCTGTAAGGTCACTACATTAAAAATTATCCTATATCTATCTTTATTTTTTTTAGTCTTCCCAACAAAGAATCTGCTATGTAATTTCTATTAACAGCTCTAAAAGATGGAGAAAGTATTTTATCCTCAGGCAGACACTTTCAGTTTCTTTTTCTTGGCTTTCAGTACTGGAGGCAGAGAAATCTTAAAGGCTGTCCTGAAATTACAGAGAGGAAAACATTTTTCAATATTCTAGAGCTGTGAAGTATCAGTCACCCACACAATCTCAAAGATACTTACTCGCACGTAGTGCAAATGGGGCTGAAATTGCAGAATACTGTAAATTAAAAAAAAAAAAAGAAACAATGGGGTGGCTGAAAAAACAATGCAGTTGAGAAACTGTTTTCCTGCCCCCAAACATAGAAAAAAAAGAAAAACTAGGTACATGAACTTACTTGACAAACACACAGAACAGACATAACCAATTTCAATGAGATTTCGATGACAGAAGCAAGCAGCCCTGTAGTCAACATGAACTGGGGGTGGGAGGATTAACTGAGATCTCTGATCTTGATCGGGAAGAAACACCCACTGTAAAACAAACAAACAAACAAAAGAAACTTTTATTTAAAAAATGGGAAAAAAATAACGTGAAGCCCCACCCTTCTAGGCCTTGGAACCCCAACGCCTGCATTTATTGCTTTCTCCCGAGTACTAGCACCAGCCATCCTGCTTCCATTCCTTTCCCAGGACACAGAGGTCATCCTTCCCTACAGGCATCAGGGTCACCACTGCTGTCTCCTTACCAGCAAATACTGCAGAAGGGAGGGCATCTGAGGCACCTTCAGGTACAGTCCTCCCGTGATGTCACAAGCCTGCAAGACACAGAGGGCTTGCTGCCAAACTCACACTTACCTAGGGTTTCCAGAGGAATGGGATTCTCACCAGCAATGCCTCAGGTCTACAAAATCAGAGGAGGATATGACACCGCAAATTATTATTATTATTATTATTATTTATTTTTATTATTTTGACAGAGTCTTGCTCTGTTGCCCAGGCTGGAGTACAGTGGCACAATCTCGGCTAACTCCAACCTCTGCTTCCGGGTTCAAGCGATTCTCCTGCCTTAGCCTCCCAAGTAGCTGGAATTACAGGCATGCGCCACCACGCCCGGCTAATTTTTGTATTTTTAGTAGAGACGGGGTTTCGCCAGTCACATGGTAATTCTATGTTTAACTTTTCCAGGAAGTTGTGAACTGTTTCCTGAAGTGGCTATACCATTTTACATTTCCAGCAGCACTGTAGGAGGGATCCAACTTCTCTATATCCTCACCAACACTTATTATTAGCTGACTTTTGGATAACAGCTGTCCTAGTGGAGTGAAGTAATAGCTCATTGCGGTTTTGACTTACACTTCCCTGGTCAGTAACGATATTAAGCATCTTTTCATGTGCTTCTTGGCCATTTGCAGATCTTTGGAGAGATATCTGTTCAAATCCTTGACCTACTTTGAAGTGAGTTATTTGTCTTATTTTTGAATTTTAAGAGTTCTTTATATAATCAGAATATTAGTCCCTTTATCAGATACATCATGTGCAAATATCTCTCCCAGTTGTCTTTTTACCTTGGAAGCACAAAAATTTTTAATTTTCATGAGATTTGTTTTCATTGTATTTTGTTAATTTTATTATGTAAAAAGAAACTGTGAGATGGCTTTATTCTGTTCTCTTTAAGAAATAACACTTTTTGTCTAGGTGCAGTGGCTCATGCCTGTAATCCTATCACTTTGGGAGGCCAAGGCTTCAGGACTGTTTGAGCCCAGGAATTCGAGACCAGCCTGAGCAACATAATGAAACCCCATCTCTACAACAAATTTAAAAAATTAGGCCAGGCGCGGTGGCTCATCCCTGTAATCTCAGCACTTTGGGAGGTCAAGGCAGCAGATCACTTGAGGTCAGCAGTTCAATACCAGCCTAGCCAACAGGGTAAAATCCCGTCTCTACTAAAAATACAAAAATTAGCTGGGTGTAGTGGCAGGCACCTGTAATCCCAGCTGCTTGGGAGGCTAAGGCAGGAGAATCGCTGGAACCCAGGAGTTGGGGTTTCAGTGAGCCAAGATCACACCATTGCACTCCAGCCTGGGCAACAAGAGCGAAACTCCGTCTCAAAAAACTACAAAATTAGCCAGGCACTGTAGTACATGCCAATGATCCCAGATACTCAGGAGACTGAGTGGGAGGATCACTTGAGCTGGGGAAGATGAGGCTGCAGTGAGCCATGATCACGCCACTGCATTCCAGCCAGGGCAAGGGCAAGACCCTGTCTCAAAATAAAATAAAATAAAAATAACACTCTTTTGAATTTGGTCCTCTTTTTCTAAGCTTTTGCTATCTTCAGAGTTTTCCAAAGGCACAAAACACTCGCGCTCTCCTGGTTGCTGACACTAAGGTTTCCTGTCCATGTTCATGGTTTTTCCCAACAATCACTCATCTATTCATTTGATAAACACAGCTTTCTCGCTTTGACACGGCAGTGCTTCGGTTTACACTGAAAACCCTAGCTCTGATCCTAGGACCTTGAGGCTCCTCTGAAAGTACCGTCCTGGTTCAGTTGGTCTGTTAGATTCATTTACACATTTAACAACTGTTTTAGAGCACCGTGCAGGGTTACAGCAATAAACATCACAGAGTCCATCCTCGTGAAGTTAACATTCTAGTGGAGAAGGCAGAGAGTAAATCAGGTAAGTAAATGCACAAATGATGTTATAGGTTATGATCATTTCTATGAAGAAAAATAAAGTAGGCTAAGGGGAGCGGGAGTAACAGTAACAATGGTGGTCAGGGAAGGCTTCTCTGAGGAGGTGACACAGAAGCAGAGACCTGAAGGCAGGCAGGGAGTAGGCCATGCAAATACCTGCGGGAAGAGCTTGCAAGCAGAGAGAACGGCAAGTGCATCGCCCCTCTGGCTGAAGCAGGCCTGTTTCAGACAACAGCAACGGGGCAGGGCGGTGGGGCCAGACTGAACAGGGAGAGTGTGGAAGACACCGGGCAAAAGCTTCCCAGGAGCCTCAGCAAGCAGCATCCGGAAGGCCCTGGCAGGCCCTGACTCTGGGTTTTAGTCGACGTGTGATAATAGGCCATGGGGGGGTTTTAAGCAAGTGAGCAACGGGTTCTAATTTATATTAGGTTGGTGCAAAAGTAATTGCGGTGTTTACTGCTTAAAAAAAAAAAAGGGCAAAAACCGCAATTACTTTTGCACCAACCTTGTATTTTGAAAGCTTCATTCTGACAGCTGTTCTGAGAACCAACTTTCAACATTTATTTATTTTTTTAAAAAAGGGAGACAGGGTTTCCCTGGAGTGCAGTGGCATGATCATAGCTGACTGCAGCTTCGAACTCCTAAGCTCAGCCAGGATATATATATACACATACATATATATATACACACACACACATATATATATATATTTTTTTTTTTTTTTTTGAGATAGAGTCTCACTCTGTCGCCCAAGCTGGAGTGCAGTGGTGCAATCTCGGCTCATGTAAGCTCCGCCTCCTGGGTTCACGTCATTCTCCTGCCTCAGCCTCCCGAGTAGCTGGGACTACAGGCACCTGCCACCACGCCCGGCTAATTTTTTGTATTTTTAGTAGAGACAGGGTTTCACCGTGTTAGCCAGGATGGTCTCGATCTCCTGACCTTGTGATCGCCCACCTCAGCCTCCCAAAGTGCTGGGATTACAGGTGTGAGCCACCGTGCCGGGCCTCAGCCAGGATATATTTTAAAGGCGGAATGAACAGGATTTGCTCATGGTTATGAAAGGAGGGAAGAGAAGAGACAAGGAAGAGTTAGGTTTTTGCCCGAGCTGCTGAGTGAACTGCACTGCCACTTAGGGAGATGGGGCAGGAAGAGGCTGAGAGGACAAACCAAGAGCTCTCTGGTTTGGACACATGACGCTGAAGATGCCTGCCAGACGTCCAAGGGGAGGTACTACATACACGGCTGATTCTGCAAGTCTGGAACTCAGGACGGTCTGGGACTGGACTAGAGAAACGAATGTGAGGGCCGAGGAGGTAGAGCTGGTATGTGAATTCATGGCAGAGACAAGATCGTCTTGGAGTTAACAGACAACGTGTAGACTGAAATGTGTTGCTAAGAAATGAATTCAAACTTTTTGAATTTTTACTACTGAAATACAATACGTACAAGAGTCTATATACACAATGTGTAAGTATGGTTTAAATAATCAAATGAACATCATATACCTATGATCAAGCTGAAGAAACAGTAGAGTCTCAGAACCTTTGAAGCCTGTGAATTTTCCCATTGGACCTCGCTCTCCCCATCCTTCATCCCCAGCAGTAACCTAAATTCAGGGTTTGTCACAGTTTTGTGCTTGTAACTGATCCTTTAGGAAACAACATTTGTGGCCAAAAAACATCTAACAATAACTCAGTAATTTCTTCAGACTTACTTTAGGGTTTTGTTTCCTTTGGGTTAAAGTAAAATTCAGTTTTTATCTTTTTCATTAAAAAGCAACGTCTGACAGTGCTGCCCAGTGGAAACAGAATGCAGGCAATATGTAATTTAAAATGTTCCAGCAGCTCCACACGCAAGGGGGAAATAAATAGATAAAATCGGCCGGGCGCGGTGGCTCAAGCCTGTAATCCTAGCACTTTGGGAGGCCGAGATGGGCTGATCACTAGGTCAGGAGATCGAGACCATCCTGGCGAACACGGTGAAACCCCGTCTCTACTAAAAAATACAAAAAAACTAGCCGGGCGAGGCGGCGGGCGCCTGTAGTCCCAGCTACTCGGGAGGCTGAGGCAGGAGAATGGCGTAAACCCGGGGGGCGGAGCTTGCAGTGAGCTGAGATCCGGCCACTGCACTCCAGCCCGGGCGACAGAGCCAGACTCCGTCTCAAAAAAAAAAAAAAAAAAAATAGATAAAATCAGGTTCAATAACATACTGTATTTAACCCAATATACCCAAAGCACTTTCATTTTAAATTGTAATCACTATAAAAATCACTAATTGTCATAATCACCCACACAAAGCATGGTTTTAAAACATACCTGTTGGAGGAGCCCTGAGTCGGAATCTAAAACACAGGCATCAATCAAAATATTCTGAAAGAAACGTTTTGAAAATATTACAGAAATAATAACAGTAATGATTACCCTATACTGAGAACCTACTACATGCCATACTCTATGCTTAAAATAGCTCCCTCAATACGCAACGTGACTCTGCACGGCAGATATTTGCATTTGGCAGCTGAAGCACCCAGGACATGGCTGGGCTGTGGTCACAGAGCCAGTGGGTGGGAAAGCTCTCACCCCACTCGGCCTGTCTCCAAAGTTCAGGCTCTTTTCACTACATCATGCTGTCACTCCACAACAGAGAACATTATGCATGGCTATAGCAGCATTTTATGTTAAGACTGAAGTTCTGCTTCGTTTTTTTGGGGCAGACTCTAGCTCTGTTGCCCAGGCTGGAGGGCTGTGGCGCGATCTCCACTCACTGCAAGCTCCGCCTCCCGGGTTCACATCATTCTCCTGCCTCAGCCTCCCGAGTAGCTGGGACTACAGGCACCCACCACCACACCCAGCTACTTTTTGTATTTTTAGGAGAGACGGGGTTTCACCATGTTAGCCAGGGTGGTCTCGATCTCCTGACCTTGTGATCTGCCCGCCTCGGCCTCCCAAAGTGCTGGGATTAGAGGCATGAGCCACCTCGCCCGGCTAACACTGAATTTTTAAGAAGGTTTTCTTTCTTTATAAATACATCAAAGAAGAAAATGTATTATACTTCATCTGAACATTTCAACTCTTTGCAAAGTAAAAACATTGAATCTTTATAGATCTCACCACAGCAAAAAGAAAAAGAAATTGAGGCAAGGTTTATACAGCAAACTGTCAAACCAGAGTTTCTTGGCATAGGGTCCATGGATGGGCTAAAGGTTACCTGAATGCCATGAAACTCTACGCAAAACTGTGGTTGAGTGCACATTGTTCTGGGAATGCATCAGCTTCTCAAGTGGTCCAGGACCCAAAATAGAAAAAAGACCAGAACATTCCTTGCCCATTCATAAGGTTACGTAGTCAGAATACCTCAGAGTACAGCATTCAAAAAATGAAACTGACTCCTTCATTATGAAACAAATACTTTAAATGGCAGGCTCTCAGTTCACCTGTTTCTGTGCTGCGAAGATGACATTCATGAAGTTCATATACTGCAACGCACTGTCTTCTGCAGCCTTAATCACCTAAAAATCACAGTCATGTTAATTCTGCCCAGGCACATCCCAGTCCTCTCACACCAATGTCACATAATATATTGCGAACCACAACCAACATTACTCCAGTTTGTCTTCCCATTTATCATTGTTAAATGATACCTAAAGTATAAAGATGACAGTAACATTTCCCCCAAAATCCTACCACCCAAGGACAGTCCACGTAAGGGTTTGATGAACTCCTTCTGGGGAGCACCTACGTGGGCAGGTATATACATGCACACCCAAAACATGAACACAAACATACACAAAATACATATACACACACACACCCAAAATACACACACACCCCCAAAATATACACATGCACACCCAAAATACACACCCACTCCCAAATTACACACACCTACCCACCCAAAATATACACATGCACACCAAAATACACGCACACCCAAAATACACACAACTATCCACCCAAAATATACACATGCACACCCCAAATATACACATGAACCCCCAAAATACACACCCCCAAAAATACACACATCCCCAAAAATACACACCCCAAAAAACACACACACACCCAAAATACACACACTGCAAATACATACACATACACCCAAAATTCACAGGTATGCACATCCAAAATACATATACACCCAAAATACACAGGTACGCACACCCAAAATACATACACACTCAAAATATACACACCCCAAAAGTACACACACCCTCAAAATACACACACCCAAAACACACACAACCAATAAACACACCCCCAAAAAATACACATCCAAAGCATACCCCCAAAATACACACCCCTCAAAATACACACACCCCAAATACACACATAAAATATACACAAACCCCAAAAACACCCAAAACACACAAACATACCCCAAATACATACACACACACATCCAAAATATACACACATACACACACCCAGAATACACACACATCCAAAATACACACACTCACACATGTCAGAATGATTACTTAGCATTCTGCAACCTGCTTTTTGAGTCCACAATATATGTGGGAAAAAATATTCTTTTTTTTTTCTTTTTTTTTGAGATGGAGTCTCGCTCTGTCGTCCAGGTTGGAGTGCAGTGGCTGGATCTCAGCTCACTGCAAGCTCCGCCTCCCGGGTTTACACCATTCTCCTGCCTCAACCTCCCGAGTAGCTGGGACTGCAGGCACCCGCCACCTCGCCAGGCTAGTTTTTTGTATTTTTTAGTAGAGACGGGGTTTCACTGTGTTAGCCAGGATGGTCTTGATCTCCTGACCTCGTGATCCACCTGTCTCGGCCTCCCAAAGTGCTGGGATTACAGGCTTGAGCCACCATGCCCGGTGGGAAAAAATATTCTAATGTCCATGAATTAGAATATATACTTCTAGAATATATGCTTCTTGCAGACTTCATAAATTTCCACTATTTAAGCAGTTTCCAATTCTCAGTTTTAAACAATGTTCTGATGACACCCTCATATACCCTCTACACAGCTCTCTAATTACCTCCGGAAAATAAGCAGTGATTACTAAAGTGTATGCACATTTAATTTTGATACAGATTACCAAAATGCACCCCAGAAAAATTTTTACCAATTTATCCTCCTATCAGCAATGCATGAGAATAACCAATCCCCAACATCACCATCAACCCCGGGAACTGCCAGCTTTTTCTTTTTTTTTTTTTTTGAGACGGAGTCTCGCTCTGTCACCCAGGCTGGAGTGCAGTGGCCTGATCTCAGCTCACTGCAAGCTCCGCCTCCCGGGTTTATGCCATTCTCCTGCCTCAGCCTCCCGAGTAGCTGGGACTACAGGCACCCGCCACCTCACCCGGCTAGTTTTTTTTGTATTTTTTTAGTAGAGACGGGGTTTCACCGTGTTAGCCAGGATGGTCTCGATCTCCTGACCTCGTGATCCGCCCGTCTCGGCCTCCCAAAGTGCTGGGATTACAGGCTTGAGCCACCGCGCCCAGCCCAGCTTTTTCATTTGTGCTAAACAACCGTGATCCACCTGCCTCGGCCTCCCCAAGTGTTGGGATTACAGGCGTGAGCCACCACGCCCAGCCAATTACTTGACATTTCTTTGCTTACTAGTAAGACTGAACATATTTTCAAATGCTAAAACTGACCTTTTGCTTTTGCAGACTGCTCGTTTTCTACTTGTTTTTCTAAAGCTTGACTTTTAACAATGAATTTATGGCTGGGTGCGGTGGCGTGAGCTACCGCACCCAGCCTTCTTCTAGTACTGTTATGACTTGAACTTTTACACTGAAATGTTTGATCTTTACTAGAATATATTTAAGTGTAAGTGGTGAGACAAGGAACAAGCTCTGTTTTTCCCCAAATGGCCAATCAGTTGGGCCAGCACCTTTTACTGAGCAACTCATTTTCTCCCCACTAATTTGAAGTGCTTCCTCTGTGACAAGTCCAGCTCTCCCATGTACGTGGTTTGATTACTGGACTCTAGTCTTTCCTATTTTGTTTCTGTGCTCTGTGCTACTACCACACAGTGACTTGCTCTACATCGTGTTATAAGGACTAATGCAGCAAGCTCCTACTTACTACTCCTTTTCAGAAAGTTCCTGACTATTCTTTTAAATTTATTCTTCCAGATAAACTGTTGAATTTCTCTTTTTTTTTTTTTTTTTTTGAGATGGAGTCTTGCTCTGTAGCCCAGGCAGGACTGCAGTGGTGCAATCTCGGCTCACTGCAACCTCCACCTCCCGGGTTCAAGCGATTTTCATGCCTCAGCCTCTTGAGTAGCTGGGACTACAGGTGCCCACCACCACACTCAGCTAATTTTTTGTATTTGTATTAGAGATGGCATTTCACCATATTGGCCAGGATGGTCTCAAACTCCTGACCTCTTGATCTGTCTACCTTGGCCTCCCAAAGTGCTGGGATTATAGGCGTGAGCCACTACACTCGCCTTGAATTTCTTTTTTAAATCTCCCCACCCTGCCAGGAAAAAAAAAACCTCCCTGATATTCTGACTGAGATTGTAAATTGAGTTTACAGTATGATTTTGGGAAAACTGACAACCAAGAACAAAATATGGCTCTCCATTTATTCTTCTATCTCTCTCAGAATTTTAGTTTTCCTTATCATCACTTTTACACACTGCTTGTTAAATGAATCCTGGATAGTTAATATTTTTTGCTCCTACTATAAATGGGTTTATTTCCCATCATGTTTTCTTTTTTTTTTTTTGAGACAGAGTCTCACTCTGTCACCCAGGCTAGAGTGCAGTGGCGCGATCTCAGCTCACGGCAACCTCCGCCTCCTAGGTTCAAGCGATTCTCCTGTCTCGGGCTCCTGAGCAGCTGGGACTATAGGCATGCACCACCACGTCCAGCTAATTTTTGTATTTTGACTAGAGACGGGGTTTCACCATGTTGGCCAAGCTGGTCTCGAACTCCTGACCTCAAGTGATCTGCCTGTCACAGCGTCCCAAAGTGCTGGGATTACAGGTGTGAGCCACCACACCCGGCCTCCCATTATGTTTTCTAATTATCTATAGTTGTCATATAAAAAAGTAATGATTTTTTAATCTTACCAATATCCTTGACTTCATTTCCTGATTATCTATAAAGAGAAAAAAGCAGAAAAAAATTTAACTAGATCTTATTAATCATATATGGTTTCCTAACCAATTTTTAAACAGTCCAGCAAAGAAATACTAGTAAAATAAGTAGGATTATAGTTCTCATAGGAAAATGCAGGCTCTTACCTTTAATTTCCTTGTTCATTCTGTGAATGTCTTAATTTCTTAACATTAAGGAATACAAAAATATTATTTTACTTCATAAATATTTATAGTAAAAAGAAATATAACCTCCAATTTTAAATAAACCCAGCATCTACCTAGCTAAGAAGGGAAATGCTCCACTTACCAAGATAAATACACGAGAGTGATTGGGGGTTTTCAGTTACTAACTCTGCAGTCAACTGGGCTTTGTAATCTAACCAAAATATAATCTCTGTCCCAGAAAATTGAAATTCCCAACACTCGACTGTCCTACTGTTATCTACCGTGTCCTAAATTTGAATCCTGGGACAAGAAGTATTGATTTACAAAGATGTTCAGGCAACTCACATCAAACTCCAGAACAAAATAATCACTCAATACTGCCCCTCCCCCAAAAATAATGCCATAAGACCGAGAAAACATCACACAGATAAAATGGAAAGGTATTGCCCTATGCTACATGCAAAACCATCCGTTCACCTATGGAGAAGTGGCCACTCATTTATTAAGCTTCAGGGCTCCTAAACGGCTTTTAAAAATCCAACACTGTTCCCAAGTCAAGAAGAAAATGAAAACGTTTAAGAAGTCTGAATTTATCAAAATAAGAAACAAGAAAGCACCCTGAAGCAGTGTTTCTTGCAGGCAGAAAGACATAATGGAGAAGCTAGAGTTTTCTCACTCTTCCCCATTTCCAGCTTTTACAGCTTGTCTTAAAAAACATTTCAAAGCCAGCCACGCACAGTGACCTGTAATCCCAGCACTTTGGGAGGCCGAGGTTGGTGGATCACTTGAGGTCAGGAGTTCAAGACCAGCCTGGCTAACTTGGTGAAACTACATCTCTACTAAAAATACAAAAAAATTTAGCCGGGTGTGATGGCAGGCACCTGTCCCAACTACTTGGGAGGCTGAAGCAAGATAATTGCTTGAATCCAGGAGGCGAAGGTTGCAGTGAGCCAAGATTGTGTTACTGCACGCCAACTTGGGTTGACAGAGTAAGACTCTGTCTCAAAAAAAGAAAAATTCAAAACCAATATAAACTATTTTTTAAAAACTACCCTTCAGTTGAGAGTACTCACACCTCCCATTAATGGGCACCCAAGGTTCTAAGAAATATCACAAGTTAAGATATGTTTATTACAGAAGACACCTTTTAAATGATCCAGACACCAAGGATACAGCAAAGTGCTTTGGCCAGGGATCCTGCCAGCAAAGTTTCTGTATGTTGACCCTTTATGTCACCTGCAAATAACAGAAAATATTTAAAAGGGAATTTTTAAGTACTTTCTTGAACTAAAATAATTGGGTGCTTTCCTGAACTAAGTATGCTTTCAAACCAAAACACTCTTCATGAATGAAATCAAACAAGACATTTTCAAACCAGGTTTAAAAACATAGCAATGTGTTCTTGGTAATGGTTAACTAAGCAACTTTTTAACCTTTTCTCAATGTAAAACATCCTGGTGTTTGTTCAGGGGCTAGCGGGAGGGCAAGGGGGAACAGGGAGTTACTGTTCAACAGGTACGGAATTTCAGTTTGTAAAGATGAAAAAGTTCTGGCGATAGACGGCGGTGATGATTGCAAAACAAGGCGAATATACTCAACATTACTGAACTGTACACTTAAATATTGTCAAAATGGTAAATTTTATGGTAAGTAAATTTTACATTAGAAATTCTAAAAATTGGTAAAATGGCAAATTTTGTTATTTGTACTTTACCATACACACACACAAGATCCTGTTTTTACTTGGAAAGGTTCCAGTTTATTCATGATCTATGTGGTACAAAATGTCACGCATAAGTCTAGCAGCCTGGACAGAGTACAAGGCTCTGAGGCCCCCTGCCCTCCCTCTCCCACCATCCCCTCCTTCCCTCTGCGCTCAGCCAGTGCAGGGAAGACTGGAGAAACTCTTTCCTCTAGCCATGAGAAGCAGGGAGGAGTCTGCCACTTGTTTGGTGCCCTGGGTGAAAAAAGTCACTCAAGATATCAAAATCCTAAAACTACAGTTCAAGAGGGCAAGGAGCCCAGATTGACACTCTGTGCAAGCCAGCTTAGAGCTGGTCCAGGAGAACTGACGCCCCATGGGTGAGGTCAGACCAGAAAAGGTCTTGAACACTATACTGTGAAGCCGAGCTGAGACTTAATCCTGGAGGCCAGTGACTCTCAAAGTGAGATTCTGGAACCAGCTATAGGGGCACCACCTGGGACCGTAATAGAAATATAAAGTCTCCGGACCTCCCTAGATCCAGTGAATCGGAAACTGAGTGGGGCCTGACACTATTTTAACAAGACTTCCAGCTGATTTTTTAACAGGTTTATAATTTACAAACCATAAATTCTGGTCTAAAAGTACTTTTAGGGATGCAATTTAATTATTTTTAGTAAATTTACAATTATGCAATCATCATCACAATCCAATTTTAGAACAGTCTCCTATTACCCCAAAAGATCACTTGGGCCCATTTGCAATCACTCCCGAGTCTCTGCCCAGCCCTGGGCAACCACTAACCAACTTTCTGTCTCTATAGAATTGTCTTTTCCCTCAGGTGATTCTGATTCAGGCTAAGGTTTGGAAACCACCACCTGCAGGCAGAAGGGAGCCAGGAAAGGCCTATGGGCCCAGGAATAGCAGCTTTCATTTTTAAGATGATAACTCTGGAGGCTGAGTGCAAAGACTTGACTGGGAAGACAGGAGTCAGAAAACCAGTTAGAAGCTATAACAATCATCTAGAGCAGTGGCTCCAAACGTGGGGTGAATGTGCCCTACAGGGGGCATCTGCAATGTCTGAAGACATATCTGGTTGTCACAACTAGGGGATATTATGGTGTCTAATGGTCCAAGGCCAGAAATGCTGCTAAACATCCTACAACGCATAGGGCAGCTGCCACAACAAAGAATTATCCAGCCCAAAATGTCAATAGTGCTGAGGTTGATCAAGATGACAATAAGGGATGGGGCCTGGGTGTGGTGGCTCACACCTGTAATCCCAGCACTTTGGAAGGCCGAGTCGGGTGGATCACCTGAGGTCAGGAGTTCAAGATAAGCCTGGTCAGCATGGCGAAACCCCGTCTCTACTAAAAACATTAAAAATTAGCCAGGTGTGGTGGTACGTGCCTGTAATTCCAGCTACTTCGGAGGCTAAGGCAGGAAAATTACTTGAACCTGGGAGGCGGAGGTTGCAGTGAGTTGAGATCACGCGCCATTGCACTCCAGCCTGGGCGACAAGGGCGAAACTCCATCTCAAAAAAAAAAAGATGACAATAGGGATGGGGGCTGGGTGTGGTGGCTCATGCCTATGATCCCAGCACTTTGGGAGGCAGAGGCAGGAGGATAGCTTGAGCCCAGGAGTTCCAGACCAGCCTGGGCAACGTAGCAAGACCCCATCTCTATAAAAATTTTTAAAAATAAAAAATAAAAAGATGACAATAAGGAGTGGGATTCTGGAGACACTTCTGAGGCTAAACAACTAGGATTTTGTAGCTGGTTAGATGTTGGATGTGAGGAGGAGTTAAAAATGAAAGCTTTAAGTTTAGAAAACTAGGTGGATGGGGGCTGACAGAAATAGAATGGAAATGGTGGTGTGATTGAGAGCAAAGATAATGAGACTAGCCGGGGCCATGTCAAGAGACTGTGGGACGCTGAAATGGAGGCATTTGAGCGTGAAAGAAAGTCTGGGTTAGAGACAAAGTTGGAAAGTGTCCATATATAAAAGATAATTAAAGGCAAAAGTGGATAAGAACATACAGAGGGAGAAAAGATGAAAATCATGTGTCGAGGCCGGGCGCGGTGGCTCAAGCCTGTAATCCCAGCACTTTGGGAGGCCGAGACGGGCGGATCACGAGGTCAGGAGATCGAGACCATCCTGGCTGACACAGTGAAACCCCGTCTCTACTAAAAAATACAAAAAAAACTAGCCGGGCGAGGTGGCGGGCGCCTGTAGTCCCAGCTACTCGGGAGGCTGAGGCAGGAGAATGGCGTGAACCCGGGAGGCGGAGCTTGCAGTGAGCCAAGATCACGCCACTGCACTCCAGCCTGGGCGGCAGAGCGAGACTCTGTCTCAAAAAAAAAAAAACAAAAACAAACAAACAAACAAACAAAAAAAAAAAAAAAAAGAAAATCATGTGTCGAATTAAAAACGTATTTTAAGAGACAAGATGAAGGAAAAGCCAGAAATAGAGACTATGAAGTAATGTTTCAAGAAAAGAGGAAAAACAGGTCACAGGGCATTCTTAGAAGCCAAAAGACATGTTTCAAGAAGTAAAGGCTGGTCAGCAGTGTCAAATGCCGTAGAGGCTAGGCAAATAACGAACCGACTTTGATGAAAATGATTTTTAAAAAGAGAGAATGTGCAGGCATACAATACAAAGAATCCACATCTTTTAACTTAAAGCCTAAAGGACCTCCAAAATCAACCCTATTTGCAAAATAACAATTTTTAAAAGCTGTTACTTTTGGTCATTAGATCTTTAATCTCTTCAACAATAACTTCATTCGCTGAGGTTAAAAGTTCGTATTTTCCATCTTTACTCCCAGAGGGATTAAATTCAGGAGGGTTGCCAGGGTCTCCGAAGAAGTCTCCAAGTCTGCCATTCTTTCCAGGATATAAGAATCGGCTGAAACAGCAGGGGAAAAAAACCTGGTTACACCAGGCCTCACTGCCCATGCTCACTCATGATCAGAATGAAATTCAGCAGACAACAAACAAAATCACAATGTGGGATTCACAAAATTCTAGAGTCAATTTCATTTTTTAAAAAATGTGTAAGATAAAATTTTTTTTTAATGTGTAAGAAAAAGGGTATAAAAACAAAGTAAAAATGTATAAAATAGGCAAATTGGCCACAGAATGTTTTACTGGTTCCAGTGTTTTCTGAAAAGTGTGGGGAAATACAGACGGTGTTGGGTTATCATCTCCGAAATGCTGCAGAGGGGTGCCTGTGCCTTCCTTTCTCAAATGACAACCACAACAGGTTCATACCAAATTCCAACTCACTACTAGTTCATTATTTGAGGTACACATCCATCCCAGTAATACAAACCTGGTCCAAAGGTCCCTGAAAGATTCTCCCAGTGATTCATGACTCTTTTTTTGTTTGAGACACAGTCCCGCCCTGTCACCCAGACTGGAGTGCAGTGGTGCAGTCTCAGCTCACTGCAACCTCCACCTCCTGGGCTCAAGTGATTCTCGTGCCTCAGCCTCCCGAGTAGCTGGAATTACAGGTGTGTACCACCAGGCCCCAGCTAATTTTTTGTATTTTTAGTAGAGATGGGGTTTCACTATATTGGCCGCTATGTATGGCTGGTCTCAAACTCCTGACCTCAAGTAATCTGCCCACCTCAGCCTCCAGAAGTGTTGGGATTACAGACGTGAGCCACCGTGCCCAGCCTCATGACCTTTTTTTTTTTTGAGATGAAGTCTTTCTCTGTCACCCAGGCTGGAGTGCAGTGGCGTGATCTTAGCTCACTGCAAGCTCCGCCTCCCGGGTTCACGCCATTCTCCTGCCTCAGCCTCCCGAGTAGCTGGGACTACAGGTGCCCACCACCATGCCCGGCTAAATTTTTTTTTGTATTTTTAGTAAAGACGGGGTTTCACTGTGTTAGCCAGGATGGTCTCGATCTCCTGACCTCGTGGTCCGCCCACCTTGGCCTCCCGAAGTGCTGCAATTACAGGCATGAGCCACTGCACCCGGCCATGGCCTCGTGACTTTAAAAAAAAAAAAAAAAAAAAAAAAACTTTGACAGGTATAGTTTTTACTGGTATTGTAACCAAACTAGCATCATCTTTTCATCCAATTCTGAGAAAAAACATGTAGTGAGGATGAGAGTAAGAGTATGTGTTTGGTGGCCCATAGGCTCTTTCACCCACCAGAGGAAGCAGGCAGCCCTAAGAACCAAGAAAATCTGAGAGCTACCATAGAAATATGTTGGTAAGCAAGAGTCTTCTATTGTAATGTGGTGATTAAGACATAGAAGAGCCAGGCGTGGTGGCTGATCCCTGCAATCCCAGCACTTTGGGAGGCTGGGGTGAAAGGATTGCTTGAGCCTAGGAGAGCAAGACCAGCCTGGGCAACACAGTGAGAGCCCATCTCTATAAAAAATTCAAAAATTAGCAGAGTGTGGTTGTGAACACCTGCAGTCCCAGCTACTTGGGAGGCTGAGGCAGGAGGATCACTTATGCCCAGAAGTTCAGAGGCTACAGTGGCCCATGATAGTGCCACCGTACTCCAGCCTGGGTGACAGAACAAGACCCTGTCTCAAAAAACAAAAAAAACAGACATCGAAGAGCTGTGTCTTACATGGGAATTCAACTCTTCTGTCAGTGCATAATGTGAGAAGTAAATATGGCCCAAATTATTCACAAAAACTTTGCTGTATCCACAGTTCACATTTACACATCAGCTGCAGGCTATGCACCATCTTGCAGTGAGTCTAACACAGCCAGTTTCACACCAGTGTGAGAAACGACCACTGTTTCTTCTGCCAAGCACCAGATGGAGTAGTTGGCTTGGGTTTAGAAGCCAGTGTTATAAGAAAAAATCCTTATTTCTAAGCACCAGGTTCACTCACAGAGCAGGGCAACAGGCCATGAGAACTATGCAGAGCCAAAAGTAAACAGAATCACATCTCCCATCTCACTTGCACTCTGGGGCAGACACAAAATGGGAAGACAGGTGAGGGAAAGTAGCTGCCCGACTGGATAGCTCTCTTTCCCTTTCTGCCTAAATAATATAGTTCAATCTGTGCAAATTACACGGGCCATTATGTAACTCTACTACCGACTAACGATGAAGTTTGCAAAATTCATGGATATCACAATGTACACGTACTGGCTCTTGGTGCTGTGGCTGTTCACTGGCACAGAAAACATTTTCTTTTGCAACATGGAATAGGAACAAAACATGCCAACTGGCACAAAAAAATCATGAATGTTAAGCACTGAATAGGAAAAGCAATCACAACGGTCATACCTTTCTTGAATGTGACTCGCTATCACAGCAAGTTTGTTGGAACGATTCATGAATAAATGCGAATTTCCCAGCACCATCACAGCATCTATGCATTTGGATAAGGTAAACTGTTGAAAAAAAAGAAAGACATTAGAAAAACAAATTAGCTATCCAAATAACCATGTCAGGTCTTGACATAATTAAGATTTCGTTTAGATCGGGTGCAATGGCTCAAGCCTGTAATTCCAGCAGCCTGAGAGGCCAAGGTGGGAGGACTGCTTGAGTTCAGGAGTTTGAGACCAGCCTGGGCAACATAATGAAACCTTAGCTCTATAAAAAAGAAACAAAACTAGCCAGCCATGGTGGTGTGCACCCATAGTCCTAGCTGCTCTGGAGGCTGAGGTGGCAGGATCGCTTCAGCCCTGGAGAGCCAGGCTGCAGTAAGCCAAGATTGTACCACTGTACTGCAGCCTGGACAAGAGAGCTAGACCCTGTAACAAACAAACAAAAGACTTCATTTAAATTTTAGATAATTATTCACTATTAAAAATTTGCTCAGGAGCTCCCCTCCTCCAAAGCCATAAACAAAAACACTTAAAAACTATAGTTTTCTAATTTTACTTATATGAGATCATTTCTACATTAGTACAATATTCCACAAATATTTGCAGCGTAAAATTTAAGGAATAACAAACATGTCACATGTTCTGTGATAAAATTTCCAGCAAACTATTACTATATGTGGAGTAGATAATGAATACATACTGAAAACACTGGAGACCTGTAAAAATGTTTAATGTATTTGTTCACTAAGTATACTGAGCCACTACTGCATGTCTGGTATATACTTAGTGAACAATATAGTGGTTGCTCAGTATACTTAGTGGGCAAATGAATTAAAAACTTTTTTTTTTTTGAGATGGAGTCTCACGCTGTCGCCAGGCTGGAGTGCAGTGGCCCAATCTCGGCTTACTGCAACCTCCACCTCCCAGGTTCAAGCAGTTCTCCTGCCTCAGTCTCCCCAGTAGCTAGGACTAGAGGCCCATGCTACCACGCCCAGCTACTTTTTTGATTTTTAGTAGAGATGGGTTTCACCATGTTGGCAAAGATGGTCTCGATCTCTTTACCTCATGATCCGCCCACCTCAGCCTCCCAAATTGCTGGGATTACAGGCGTGAGCCACCATGCCCAGCCTAAAAACTTTTAAACTTTGAAAAAACAAATACAGAATATCACCTTCCCATAAGAACTAATATTATTAAGATACATAAGTCAGTATTTTTTTTTTTGGTATTCAAAATGTTCAGAGAAATTTCTCTAGTAACAAACTAAACAAGTGATCCTTGAAGTTTTAGTCTTCATAAGTAGATATTTTCATAATCCTAGAATAAGGTCTATTTCTCTTAAATAAATACTTCAGGTAGAAAACAGAACACTGGTGGCCAGGAGTGGTGGCTCACATCCCAGCACTTTGGGAGGCCGAGGCAGGCAGATCACCTGTGGTCAGGAGTTTAAGACCAGCCTGGCTTATATGGCAAAACCCCGTCTCTACTTAAAATACAAAAATTAGCTGGGTGTGTTGGCACATGCCTGTAGTCCCAGCTTCTCGGGATGCTGAGGTGGGAGGACTGCTTGAGCACCGGAGGTGGTGGCTGCAGTGAGCTGAGATTGTGCTACTGCACTCCGGCCTGGGTGACAGAGTAAGACGCCATCTCAAAAAAAAGACCAAAACACGGTAAATTTCACCCTACTGGAAAAAAAAAACCTTAAATCTATTAAAATTTCTATTTTGCAAAAAGTGACAATATAAATAAAAGTGAAAGAAAACAAGTTACAAACTGGAAAAAAATAGTTGCAACGTATGACAAGTAATGGGTTAATCTTTTAATATAAAGAGTGTCCATAAATCATTAATTTAAAAAAAACCACATGCCATGAATATCCAAAGAAAGAAGTGGGTGATGTCCCAAGAGAGAAATACAAATGGCCACGAAATACACTAAAAGCAAATTGAGATTACATTGTTTTTTGCTCCTCATATTGCCAAAAGATGAAATAAGGAGAATGAACATCTTGTGCTGGTACAAGAAAAAAGGAACTCTCACACAGCACTGATGAGTGCAAATGCAGCCTTTTTGGAGTAACAGGGCAGCATGCAGTGATGTGCTGGCAGATGTTTAACCATTCGCTCTCCAAAAACGAGGTACACATGTACACAAGTACACACAGATATTACTGACACAGTAGTCTGTAGCACACAATTTACAAATAACAGTGAAAAATGCACAATACTCTTTATGGTAAATTGCATACAGTCAATGGATTCTCACAGAATGCCTATGTTGATTTTTGCTGAATTCTTGTATCCATAGCCAATTGAAAAATGAGTATGGTTTGGCCGGGCACGGTGGCTCACACCTGTAATCCCAGCACTTTGGGAGGTTGAGGCAGGTGGATTGCCTGAGTTCAGCAGTTTGCAACCAGCCTGGGCAACAGAGTGAAACCCCAACTCTACTAAAATACACACACAAAAAATTAGTTGAGCGTGGCGGCATGTGCCTGTAGTCCCAGCTACTCGGGAGGCTGAGGCAGGAGAAATGCTTGAACCCGGGAGGCGGAGACTGCAGTGAGCCGAGATCGCACCACTGCACTCCAGCCTGGGCGACAGAGCAAGACTCCATCTCAAAAAAAGAAAAAAGTATGGTTTCAAGTGAAGAATGAGTATAGTTCTAACATGAATATTGTGTGATATTTTTATTTTTTGTTAACAAGCAAAAAGATGCTTATACTTGGTATGAGCAACTGTGTAAGTAACAATTCTAACACCGCATTGTCAGGTTTGTAACACGCAGGGGTGATATGTATGACAGTAAGAACGCGAGGAAGGGGTGGAAATGGATCTATACTGGAGCAAAGCCTCTATATTTTACTGGAATTAAATGAGTATTAACCTAAAGTAGACAATGGTAAGACACATACAGTAATCCCTAGAGCAACTGTTGTGGGTCAAATTATGTCCCCGCAAAAGACATGTTCAAGTCCTAACTTCTGGTACATGCGTATGGGATCTTTTTTGGAAACAGAATCAGAAGTAAGAAGAGATCGACCAGGCGCAGTGGCTCACGCCTGTAATCCCAACACTTTGGGAGGCTCAGGTGGGCAGATCACGAGGTCAAGCGATCGAGACCAGCCTGGCCAACATGGTGAAACCCCGTCTCTACCAAAAATACAAAAATTAGCTGGGTGTGGTGGTGCATGCCTGTAGTCCCAGCTACTCGGGAGGCTGAGGCAGGAAAATCACTTTAACCCAGGAGGCGGAGGTTTCAGTGAGCCAAGATCACGCCATTGCACTCCAGCCTGGGCAACAAGAGCAAAACTCCATCTCAATTGCTTGAATTCGGGAGGCAGAGGCTGCAGTGAACCGAGATCATGCCATAGGACTCTAGCTCTGGGTGACAGAGTAAGACTCCACCTCAGGAAAAATAAATAAATTAATTAAGAAATTAATTCAATGTTTGATAGCACAGTAGGGTGACTATACTTAAAAATTAATGTAAATGGGGCCTGGGCATGGGTGGCCTCCACACCCTTGTAATCCCAGCACTGGTAGAGAAGGCCCGGAAGTGGTGGTGGATTAATAGGGAGCTATTTGGGGAGAATTGCTTGAAGCCAAGAGTTCAAGACCAGCCTGGGCAACATGGTGAGAACCCGTTTCAACAAAAAATACAAACATTAGCCAGACATGGTGGTGTGCAGCTGTAGTACCAGCTACTCTGGAGGCTGAGGCCAGAGGACTGCTTTAGCCCAGGAATGTGAGGCTGCAATGGGCTATGGTGGCACCACTGCACTCCAGCCTGGGCAACAGAGTGAGACACTTGTCTCAAAAAAAAAAAAAAAAAAAAAGGAAAAATTACTGATACAGGCAGCAGCTTGGATGGATCTCAAGGGCATTATGTTGGGTAAACAAAAGCCAACCTCAAAGATTACCAACTGTATGATCTATATACAAAATAAAATTATAGAAATGGAGATCTGATTAGCATATTCGTGTTTACTAGCGGTTAGGGATGGGGACTAGGAAGGTTCTGTAACTACTATAGAAGGGGCTCCTTTGTAATAAAGCAACAGTTCCATATCCTGAGGGTGGAGCTGATGAACACACCCATCGATGAATGTGGTAAAACTGCACAGAACCACACACACACACACACACACACACACACGCACGCATACACACAAATGAGCGCATGTAAAACTTGCAATCTGATGAGGTCTGTAGATTGCACTGACAGTTTCAAAACTGTACTATGGTTATATAAGATGTCACCACTGAAAGAACTTCAGTGATGGGCACACAGGATCTCTCTGTACCTTTTCTGGTTTCCTATGTCTATATTATTTAAAAATAAAATATTTCAAAATAGAAAGTATTTTTTAAGACCACATATTATATGGAATCAATACATGAAATGTCCAGAAAAGGGAATTTAGAGATAGAGGGCAGATCAGTGGTTGCTTGCAGCTTGGAGATAGAAGCAGGGATTGACTGCAAACAGGCACGACGGAACGTTATGCAGTAAAAGAAATGTTCTAAAGCAGAAGTGTGGGGCTGGTTACACAACTTCGCAAATTTCCTTAAAAAAAAATCACTGAATTGTACAGTGGCTGAATATTACAATATGTAAATTATACTTTAATAAAGCCATTTTTTAAAAACGCAATATAAACACTCAGTTAAATGAGAATTCTCCAAAGGCCTCCTCAAGCAGTCTTACCTGAGATTCCTTTAATGCTTGCTTTCCCCACCAAATTGGGTTGGCATCAACTACAATAACCAGAAGATTCAATTCATCTTCTGAAAATATTAACAAGAAATACAATTTAAAACATCAGCTTCATAAAAATGAATCAAAGCTAATATTTTGAATTCATAAATTAAATCCAGAGCACCACTATAAGCCTTAAATATTTATCACCTTCTAATTATGAGATTAACAGAAGACCCAGTTAAAGCTTTAAAGCTGGGCCGGGCACGGTGGCTCACACCTGTAATCCCAGCACTTTGGGAGGCCGAGGCAGTCAGATCACAAGGTCAGAAGATCGAGACCATCCTGGCTAACACGGTGAAACCCCATCTCTACTAAAAATACAAAATATTAGCCAGGCGTGGTGGTGGGCGCCAGTAGTCCCAGCTACTCGGCAGGCTGAGGCAGGAGAATGGCGTGAACCCAGGAGGTGGAGCTTGCAGTGAGCCGAGGTCGTGCCACTGCACTCCAGCCTGGGCTGGGTGACAAAGCGAGACTCCGTCTCAAAAAAAAAAAAAAATGTTTTAAAGCACAGTGAGCCCTTAGCAAGCTCTTGTCTACATCCTGAACCACTATATCTCTAACGCACTAAATGTAAACTCCATGAGGGTGGGAATTTTTGTCTTTTTGTTCACTGCTTATCCTCATTCCTACCACACTGCCTAGCACACTGCAGCTGTTCAATAAATACCTACTGAACGAGGGCCAGGTGTGGTGGCACAGGCCTGTAGTCCCAGCACTTTGAGAGGCCAAAACAGGCAGATGGCTTGAGCTCAGAAGTTCGAGACCAGCCTGGGCAACATGGCAAAACCCTTTCTCTACTAAAAATACAAAAATTAGAGCCAGGCACGGTGGCTCACACCTGTAATCCCAGTACTTTGGGAGGCCGAGGTGGGCGGATCACTTGAGGTCATGAGTTCAAGACCAGCCTGGCCAACATGGTAAGAAACCCCATCTTTACTAAAAATACACACACACACACAAAATTAGCTGGGCTTGGTGGCAAGCGCCTGTAACTCCAACTACTCGAGAGGCTGAGGCAGGAGAATCACTTGAACCTGGGAGGCAGAGGCTGCAGTGAGCCAAGATTGCACCACTGCACTCCAGCCTGGGTGACAGAGCAAGACTTCATCTTGGCGAAAAAAAAAAAATAGCCAGGCGTGGTGGCACATGCCTGTAGTCCCAGCTACTCAGGAGGCTGAGGTGGGAGGATCACTTGAGACCAGGAAGTCGAGGCTACAGTGAGCCATGTTCCTGCCAATGCACTCCAGCCTGGGAGACAGAATGAGACTCCGTCTGAAAAACAAAAAACAACAACAACAAAAAAACACCTGCTGCATTCTGAATGCCTGGTCAAGGACAGAAGGCACTGATTAACCAGTAGTAGGAATCCCAGTGGTAGAATTTCAGGAGCAAAAAATTAAAGGGAGGCTTAGATGTCAATTTGGCCCATACCCATCAAAGCATGTAGCAGCAAGGCCAATTGTAATTAAGAGTCACTTTTTAGGCCGGGCGCGGTGGCTCATGCCTGTAATCCCAGCACTTTGGAAGGCCAAGGCGGGCGGATCACAAGGTCAGGAGATTGAGACCATCCTGGCGAACACGGTGAAATCCCGTCTCTACTAAAAATACAAAAAAATTAGCCGGGCGTGGTGGTGGGCGCCTGTAGTCCCAGCTTCTCGGGAGGCTGAGGCAGGAGAATGGTGTGAACCCTGGAGGTGGCAGAGCTTGCAGTGAGCCGAGATCGCGCCGAGATCGCGCCACTGCACTACAGCCTGGGGGACAGAGCGAGACTCCGTACCAAAAAAAAAAAAAAAAAGAGTCACTTTTTAAAAGGTAAAAAAAAACCAGGCTGGGTGCAGTAGCTTAAGCCTGTAATCCCAGCACTTTGGGAGGCTGAGGTGGGCAGATCACCTGAGGTCAGGAGTTCAAGACCAGCCTGGCCAACATCGTGAAACCCCATCTCTACTAAAAATACAAGTATTAGCCAGGCATGGTGGCACACGCCTATAATTCCTGCTACTCGGGAGGCTGAGGCAGGAGAATCGCTTGAACCTGGGAGGCAGAGGTTGCTGTGAGCCAAGAGCGCGCCACTGCACTTCAGCCTGGGCGACAGAGCGGGACTCTGTCTCAAAAAAAAAAAGTAACAAAACAGAGGGAAAAGCAATTCCTGCATCAAAATTTCACCGTTAAGAGGAATTCTATTCTCTAAACTAAACAGGCTACAACACATTCATCATTTGTTTGGAATTTTTTTTTCTTTTTTTTTTTTTTGAGACAGTCTCACTCTGTCACCCAGGCTGGAGTGCAGTGGCGTGATCTTGGCTCACTGCAAGCTCCGCCTCCCAGGTTCACACCATCCTCCCTGCCTCAGCTTCCCAAGTAGCTGGGACTCCAGGTTTAGCCCACCACCACACCTGGCTAATTTTTTGTATATTTTTTCTAGTAGAGACGGGGTTTCACCGTGTTAGCCAGGATGGTCTCGATCTTCTGACCTTGTGATCCGCCCGCCTCGGCCTCCCAAAGTGCTGGGATTACAGGCGTGAGCCACCGTGCCTGGCCTTTTTGAGTGTTTTTTTAAGAGATGGGGGTCTCAATAAACTGCCCAGGCTGGTTTTAGAATCCTGGGCTTGCGATCCTCCTGTGTCCGCCTCCCCAGTGGAGTAAGGACTACATGCATGCACCACCCCAAACACATTAGTCCTTCAACAACACTGTTAAGATGTTGAGGATACTGGGTCCAATCCCTCAAAGAGACTATACTCTAACTGAGGTGACAGATAGACATACAAACCTGTGAGCACACACTGTTATGAAAGGCCCAGGACGCTCATTTATTTATTTATGTATTTTTAAACAAATTTTTGAGACAAGGTCTCAAGGTTGGAGTACAGTATCACAAATATAGCTCACTGCAGCCTTGACGTCCTGGGCTCAAGTGATCTTCCTGTCTCAGTCTCCCACATAACTGGGACAACAGGCGTGCACTACCACATCCAGCTAAATTTTTTTTTTTCTTTCGAGGTGGAATTTTGCTCTTGTTGATCAGGATGGAGTGCAATGGCGCAATCTCGGCTCACCACAACCTCTGCCTCCTGGGTTCAAGTGATTCTCCTGCCTCCGCCTCCTGAGTAGCCGGGATTACAGGCATGCGCCACCAAGCCTAGCTAATTTTGTATTTTTAGTAGAGATGGGGTTTCTCCATGTTGGTCAGGCTGGTCTCGAACTCTTGACCTCAAGTGATCTGCCTGCCTTGGCCTCCCAAAGTGCTGGGATTACAGGTATGAGCTACCGCGCCCAGCCACCCAGCTAATTTTTAAATTTTTGTAGAGATGGGGTCTCATTTTGTTGGCTAGGCTGGTCTCGAACTCCTGGGCTCAAGTGATCCTCCTACCTCGGCCTCCTAAAGTGTTGGGATTACAGGCGTGAGCCGCCGTGCCTGGCTCCAGGATGCTCATTTAATAGCAAAGAGCAGTAATGCCTTTCCTCCCTCCATACTTTCCTTCCTGCAGTCCTGTCTTCTACATTAGGATAATTTCCACCCTATATTTGATTTCTGCTTATTCAAATCCCAATTACTCCTCAAGGCCCCAAACCAAAGCAAACTCTTTCTTCTTCGTGACTCCCCTACCTCAGAGCAGAAGGAATACCAGCCTCCTCTGCACTAAGCACCGGAATCTGCAATCCCAAAATCCCATTCCATCCTGACAACCACCCAGCAAAGGACATTTTCCTGCCATTTTTCAACAATTATAAGACCACCCCCACCCCATGATTTTTACAACGAATAGTTGTTGACATCTGGATGGTATCCTTATCATTAAGATTAGTGGCATTTTTTCTTTCTTAGTGGTATATTAAATAATGGTACATCTCATAATCAATATTATCTTAGATTAGCTGAAATATGAAATATGGTATTCCTATTCTGCAAATGAAAGTAACGTGTCCTAAGTCACATATGGCCTGCTAACAAGTGGCAAGGCCAAAGCCCTGTTCTAAAGACAGAACTGCTTGACTATAAAGACTGTGGCTCTTCACTGCCCCACTGCCCACCTCTGACAACCCACAGCTCTCTCTTCTAATGGCACTTAGCACTTACTACTTCATTTTACAGTTAGTTGTGCTTCTGATCTCTCTTCCCAGTCCTGCCCACTTAAGACTGTGGACTTCTTAAAAAACGATGGAATTTGCTAATCCTAGGATAAAATAATGTGTGTAAAACAGGACTGGTGTAGTGGCTCACGCTTGTAATCCCAACACTTTGGGAGGTCGAGGAAGAAAGATCACTTCAGCCCAGGAGTTTGACACTAGCCTGGGCAAAATAGTGAGATCTTGTCTCTTTTTTTCTTTTTTTTTTTTGCGACGGAGTCTTGCTCTGTCGCCCAAGCTAGAGTGCAGTGACACGATCTCGGCTCACTGCAACCCCCACCTCCTGAGTTCAAGCACTTTTCCTGCCTCAGCCTCCCAAGTAGCTGGGATTATAGGCGTGCACCACCTCATCCAGCTAATTTTTTTGTATTTTTAGCAGAGACGGGGTTTCGCCATGTTGGCCAGGCTGGTCTCAAACTCCTGACCTCAAGTGATCCACCCACCTTGGCCTCCCAAAGTGCTGGGATTACAGGCGTGAGCCACTGTGCCCAGCCACCTTTTTTTTTTTTAAAATAGAAAAACCAAATAAAAAAATGTAAATCACACAGCGAAGCACCTAGGACAGAAGCACTTAATACAACTGTGTCTGCCAGACAGAAAAAGCGTTGCCTGTAAAGAAAAGTGTGCATCTATACACCCACAATGTCCCTGTGAATTTCCTTCTTTAGTTCGCTACCTCATTTGTAGACAGAAGCAATGCCAGGCCTGCCTCCCTCACAGGGTTGTGGTACGGTTTCACATCAATTAAGAGAGGATGGACAATTATTACAGTTCCTGAAAGGGATCCCCTATCTCTATTCTTGCTCCCCACAGTCCATTTTCCACACAACAGCCACAGTGATCTTTTAAAATTGCAAACCAGATCATAACACTTCCTGGCTTAAAACTCTACAATGTCTTTGTCTTGCACCTAAAAATAAAGCCTAACTTCTCTATCACGGCCAATAAGGCCCTGCATGACCTGAAACTGGCTGGTTCTCTGATCTCATCCCTCTAGCCTCCTTTTTCTTCAAGACATCTGACTGTGTATGTGGCAGCTAATGTATGAATGGGTCTCCCCACCATCCTCTACCCGCAAGCTCTCCATTCCTCCCTTCTCGGTGTAACTTGTAACTCTGCCACAGGGCCCTTGCACTTAAAGTGCACTTTCCCAGAACTTCACACAATCATTTGAGTCGGTTTCAATATCCTGCATTTTTCCTTGGCCCCGATTAAAACAGCGCCTCCTCAAAGTCACAATGTACTATTGTAACTAGGACTGTATTATTACATGATCTTCATAGCTCTTTTCATCCTTTGAAAAATAATTTATTTTTTAATTTTTTATTGACGAGGTCATGCCCTGTCACCCATGCTGGGAGCAGTGCTCCGATCATAGCTCACTGAAGCCTCGAACTCCTGGGCTCAAGTGATTCTCCCGCCTCACCCTCCCGAGTAGCTGGGACCACAGACGCGCCCGGCTAATTATTTTATTTTTCTGTAGAGATGGGGTCTGGCTGTGTTGCCCAGGCAGGTCTCGAACTCCCGGCTTCAAGCAATTCTCCCGCCTCGGCCTCCCAAAGTGCTGGGATTACAGGCCTAATCCACCCGGGTGTGACCCGGCCGAAATTATTTTTATTTATTGTCGTCTGTTTCACCCAGTAGACTGTAACCTCCACTAAGGCCCCTGTCTGTCACGATCCCTGCTACAATCCAATAAATAATGCCTGCACACAGGAGGCGATTCAAAAATATTTACTGAATGAATGACTGAATGCCTTGGCTACTCCTCTAAAGACCAAACGGGTTCTATCCAGCCCAAAAGACACACTCCATCTGGCCGGTCATAGCCGGATCGAGCCCGCCGAGCCCCGGAGTCGAACTCCGCCCTGCAGGGTCCTCACCGTCTGAAACCATGGCTGTCCCAGCACCTCAGCGAAGAACAAGCGGTGGTCAGGCGAGCGTCTCAAACGCTGCGCAGCCCAACATCCGGCGCCGCCGAGTGACGCACAAGGTGCTTTGACTCATGCCAGCCCCCTAAGCTGCGGAAGTGGAATGCGGAGGTGCGCCGGTTGTGGGGTACGGAAGTGCGCCACGGCAGTGCGCCGGAAGTGTGGTGCGGAGGTGTGCGGTGCGCTGTCAGACTGGCTGGGAGGCGGCGCGGCCGGCGGACCCGTTCAAGACAGCGCGGGCGGCTCGGGTGCCCCGGGGCTCCGCCGCAGGAGGACGCCATGGACGACAAGGGTAAATCAGGACAGGCCAGGGCTGCTAGGCTACAGCAGAGCCGTTCAGGGGTCCCCCCAACCTCTCACATCCAGGCTGAGCTCCCGAAGAGATTTCTTTTGAACTTCAGGCTGCTTCACTGGATGTGTTTCCTCGAGTCACAACTAAATTCCCCGCGCTGCTCTTGTTTTCAGGGATGCGCCCTGACGGTATTTGCAGGCACCCCTCCCACACATACGCTCCTTCCCGGTGCCTGTCTCCAGAAGGGCCTTCGCAGTTTCGATTTCCTTATATGTGAAATAGGAGTAAGACTCCCTGCCTTGTTGGATCTGTCATTAAAATTAGAATGAATAAGGCATATTTGATGTGCTCATCTAGTATGCTTATTAAGTGAAACACAAGGGCAAACTAATATACTTTTCATGTAAAGAAATAAAGGGGAGTGGGTGGAACTCCATATGTATTTGTAACATATATGTGTATGTGAATAGACTTGTATTAGCATAGACTGTCTGGAGGGGTGCAGGAGAAATTGGCAAGGTGGTTGACTTTGGGATCCTTTCAGATCTTAGGGCCAAGGATGCTGAAGAGAGAATGACTTTTCATCATCATTTACTCGGGCTTAATTTTTAGGCCTTGCACACCAGTAGCTTTTTCAAAATAAGAAAGAGCTCTTGCAAACAGCAAAGTGGTGTTTTCTCTATTCCTATCAACGTTTATTGCATCCCTGAAACTAAATACCCTAAAAAGAAAGTATTTTTTAAATTATTTGCTTCTTAAAAAGTCAGCAGTCATTAACAAGCTCTCTTGCCTTACATGCTGCTAAATGAATTAGATGAATCGCTTTTCTCACTTTTTCCAGAGTTAATTGAATATTTTAAGTCTCAGATGAAAGAAGATCCTGACATGGCCTCAGCAGTGGCTGCCATCCGGACGTTGCTGGAGTTCTTGAAGCGAGATAAAGGTATAGAGAGTCATCTGTTAACATTCTGGGATTTAGGAAAGTCTTTTTTTAAAAAAAAAAAGAGACGGAGTCTCGCTCTGTCGCCCAGGCTGGAGTGCAGTGGTGCAATCTTGGCTTACTGCAACCTCCGCCTCCTGGGTTCAAGCAATTCTCCTGCCTCAGCCTCCTCAGTAGCTGGGACTACAGGCGCACGCTGCCATGCCTGGCTAATTTTTTTGTATTTTAGAGACAAGGTTTCACCATGTTACCCAGGCTGATGTCGAACTCCTGAGCTTAGGCAATCTGCCTGCCTTGGCCTCCCAAAGTGTTGGGATTACAGGCGTGAGCCACTGTGCTCGGCCCTTTTTTTTTTTTTTTTTTGAGACAGTTTTGCTCTTGTCTCCCAGGCTGGAGTGCAGTGGCACGATCCCAGCTCACTGCAACTTCTGCCTCTCAAGTTCAACTGATTCTCTTGCTTCAGCCTTCCGAGTAGCTGGGATTACAGGCATGTACTATCACACCTGGCAAATTTTTTTATTTTTAGTGGAGACGGGGTTTCACCATGTTGGCCACACTGGTCTTAAATCCTGACCTCAGGTGATCTGTCCGCCTCGCCCTCCCAAACTGCTGGGATTACAGGCATGAGCCTGTGTTCGGCCAGGAAATTCTTCTCATGACTCTTGGAAATGTAGAAAGTGAGAGATGCATGTTTGCCTGCATAAAGTAGTACAGCTCCAAGCTCAGTTTCTGCCTTCATTTCAGACTTTTCAATCTGGAGAGAGCCCTTACATTGTCATCAAAAGGATCCCTATCATAAGTGAAATATACTTTGAATCAAGAGTGACTATTTTATATTGTGTTAACCATGATGCTTAAATTACAGTAGCAGTTCAGCTTTATAAGTGTTTATTAGGCCTCCACCTTGTGCCAGATTCTGTACAGATGTTACAGGGAATATTCCAGAATAAATTCTGGTATTAGTATTACTTATTGTGATCCCCTAATTCAGCACTCTAAACGTTAGCATCTAGGTATAGCATGAAATCTTGTATAGGCAAAATAATAATAAGGCCTTTAATCTGAAGGGCAGGCCTAGAGACGCTTGTCTCTAAGGCAACCTCCAGTGTCTTCCCATTGTTCTTAAAATAACATCCAAACAACCTTAGCCTCACCCATACCACCTTGCAGAACTCATCTGCCGCTGCTACTCAATGTGTTTCCATGCCTCAGCCTCCCAAAGTGCTGGGATTACAGGCCTGAGCCACCATGCCTGGCCACCCGGCTTTATTTCTATGTGTGCTTGTTTACTATCCGCTTCCTCTATTAGAATCAAAACGCCATCAGATCATAACCCTAGGGGCCTGTCTTGTTCACTGATATATTCCTCTTATCTAGAACAGTGCCTGGTATAGAGTATGTACCTAATAAATGTTCATTGAATGAATGAATGAATTGAAGACACAGGTCGGGGCTGTGGTCCTAATGTGAACATCACATTCCTTGGATCATTCCAGGGGAGACAATCCAGGGCCTGAGGGCGAATCTCACCAGTGCCATAGAAACCCTGTGTGGTGTGGACTCCTCCGTGGCAGTGTCCTCTGGCGGGGAGCTCTTCCTCCGCTTCATCAGCCTTACCTCCCTGGAATACTCCGTAAGCACCTGCTCTCCCTGGGGTTACCTTTCTACTTCTCCATTTAGTGACAGACATTCTCAGCATTACCTGGATCTTCCCTGTCCCCTCATTTTGCTCTTTTCTTCCTAGGATTACTCCAAATGTAAAAAGATCATGATTGAGCGGGGAGAACTTTTTCTCAGAAGAATATCACTGTCAAGAAATAAAATTGCAGATCTGTGCCATACTTTCATCAAAGATGGAGCGGTGAGTGGATAACCATCATGCGTGCTGAGGAGGAGCAAGGGCTTCGAGTCTGACTGCCTGGGGTAAAATCCAGGCTTTGGCATTCATTTGCTGTGGAGCCTTGGACAGGTTACTTAACCTCTCTGCACAGCTTTCTCATCTGTTCAATAGGGTGAGAATAGTACCTGCCTCCTAGGGTGGTTGTGAGGATTAAATGAGGCAGGACGTGTAAGGGGCAGAGGGTGTGAGGGCTTGGTATTGTGTCTGGCACTTAGTAAGTGCCACGTGAATGTAGATCTTGTTATTAGAGACGGTTGTCATTGTAAACAGGCAGAGAGGGACAGTGGGACAGCATGTGTGATTCTTGATTTAATACAATGTTTTACTAAAGAAGTATTTTTATGATTGTGTATGTAGTAAATCTGAATTAACACAGAACAGCTCTTGTCACTGGTTAACACTGAGGACTTTATTAGTGAAGGTTAGCAATAAAGGGAGATTGAGGGAAATTTTCTTTTTAACTTCATTTTAGATGCTATTACAGAGATGTAAAGCTGCTCAGTGTTTATAAGTGAGGAAAGACAGGAGGTGCAAGTTGAGCCATCTCCCAGCACAGGTGTAATGAAACTTTCATAATGCCCCTCCCACCAGCATACGTCCTTTTGCTACCTCGGCCTCCCCTGACCATAAAATTACTTACTTGCATTTTGACTCTTAAATCTTGTCCTCCATTTTATTAGCCCCTTCCCAACCTTTGACATTTGTTATTAAATAAATGGCATAATAGATGTGAGTGAAACTTGTTCAAAAGCCAGTTGCAAACAAAGCCTTTTTTGGGCAAGTGGAGGCAAGGTTGTGACTTCCTTTCACTGGGGCCGTCTCCTTCCACAGACCTGCTGTGCCATCAGTATTGTGCAGGTTTCGTTTGCTCTAGTGTAGTGTGATACATGTGTACTTCACCTGCAGTCACCTACTCAGGACTGATTTAGACAAAATTCATAGCAGAGCTGCTCAGATTTGAAAGTGCAGAGGAGTCAGGTGGGGTCTTATTAAATGCAGATTGGGATTCAGTGGGTTTGGGCTAGGGCCCAGGAAGCTGCCTTTCTAACAGGTTCTCAGGTGAGACCCAGAAAGGAGCTAGAGAGCTGGTTCTGCCCTCTTGTCTTACTCTGTCTTCTGCACTCTTCCACAGAAAAGAGGTTATGGAGGCTGGGCATGGTGGCTTATGCCTGTAATCCCAGCACTTTGGAAAGCCAAGACGGGCAGATTGCTTGAGTCCAGGAGTCCAAGACCAGCCCAGGCAACATGGCAAAACCTCATCTCTACTAAAAATACAAAAACTTAGCCAGGCGTGGTGGCACAATCCTGTGGTCCCAGCTACTCGGGGGCCTGAGGTGGGAGAATCACCTGAACCCAGGAAGTTGCGGCTGCAGTGAGCTGTCATACCACTGCATTCCAGCCTGGGCAACAGGAGTGAGATCCTGTCTCACCAAGAAAAAAAAAAAAAAGAAAGAAAGAAAAGAGGTTATGGGCCCACTGCAGTGGCTTATGTGTGTAATCGTAGCCAGAGGTTCGCTTGAGGCCAGGAATTCAACACTAGCCTGAGCAACATAGGGAGAGAGGCCCTGTTTCTACAAAAAATAAAATAAATTAGCTAGTCATAGTGCTGCACATCTGTAGTCCCAGCTACTGGGGTGGCTGAGGTGGGAGGATCACTTGAGCCCAGGATGTCAAGGCTACAGTGAGCCATGCACACTCCACTGCACTCCAGCCTAGGCATCAGAGCAAGACCTTGGCTCAAGAAAGAAAAGAAATTATGCATAAGTGTCTACACGTTGCATCCATGCCACAGATAGGTTGTGATTACCCCAAACAGTTTATAAATTCAAAAAAATTAGCCATCATTTCAAAATTGGATTTTTGGCCCCTGTAAGCAAAACCGTCACCTCGTCTGGCAATCATGGGGCCACATGACGACAGCTAGGGCTGAGGAGTCCTGGCCCTCCTTAGCCTTTTCTTTTTGAGACAGGGTCTCAATCTGTTGCCCAGACTAGAGTACACTGGCATGATTACGGCTCATTGCAGCCTCAACCTCCCAGGCTCGAGTGATCCCCCCACCTTAGCCTCCCAAGTAGCTGGGACTATAGGCACATGCCGCTGCATCCAGCTAATTTTTTTTGTTGTTATTTTTTGTAGAGATGGGGTATTGCCAAGTTGCCCAGACTGGTTTTGAACTCCTGGGCTCAAGCAGTCCTCCAACCTTGGCCTCCCAAAATGCTGGGAGTACAGGTGTGAGCCAGCACACCCAGCCTTCCGTAGCCTTTTCGCTTTGCTGCTGACCCCACCCAACCTGCTGCAGTGACTTCTGCTACCTGCCTGGTTCCCGTAGGCCTGAGTGTGCAAACCATGTCTTAGAAATAGGGAAACCAACCCAAGGGAACCTCATGGAGCCTTCAGCTATCCAGGCTTTTGTATCCTTTGGGTAACACTGTGTGGGAGTTCCATTTCTGCACCTGCTATGGGATGTGAGACCTGGCAGAAACTTTTTCAGCTTGCAAATGGGATGGAAACTGTACCATCAGGTCTCCTTTCTGGTTGTGGTTGATTTGTGAGAAAGTGTACAGAGACGCTTAGGGTGTCGGGAACACGCGCCGCAGTGCAGAGGGTGTGAGTGAGCAGCAAGGAGCCTGGCCCTTTGACGAAGCTTTCTTGGTCCACAGACAATATTGACTCACGCCTACTCCAGAGTGGTCCTGAGAGTTCTGGAAGCAGCCGTGGCGGCCAAGAAGCGATTTAGTGTATACGTCACAGAGTCACAGCCTGATTTGTCAGGGCAAGTACCTTTCTGTTCAGTTATGTGCCCAGCCATCATCGCACAGAGCAAACTGCAGATTAGAGTCCAACAGAATCAGAACCAGAATGTGCCCCCAACTTGCCAGCAGTCAGCATTGCCTTTCATTGTACCTTTTCCTGCCTTTGGAATAAAAATCACTGAATTTGCAGCAGGTCACAGTATCGGATCTAGGGGTTTCACTTAAGTAGTTAACGCTGTGGTAGAGCAGAGATTTATTGATGAAAGATTTTTGTCAAGGAATAGGTAACTCACATCTCCCTCTCTCTAGACGATAATAAAAGCAAAACTTCCTCCTTTTTTCCTGAATTTACAACTCTTACCCAGAGTCTCTAAGAGTATAGTTTTCCAAAAATACTTCTTTCTAAAAAACCCAAATTCTTGTTTCCTTACTCCAAAGTCTTGGGATCTGCCCCTTAACCCATTAGTATTAATGTGAGTTTCAAGCAAACATGCACTGTCCACATTAAGTGATTCATCATACATCACTGTGGGACTGTCTTGTACTTCCTCTAACATTCTAAAAATGTATGTCATCTTCAGTAAGAAAATGGCTAAAGCCCTCTGCCACCTCAACGTCCCTGTCACTGTGGTGCTAGATGCTGCTGTCGGGTGAGTGCCCATCTTCCCCAGCCATAATCACCTCCCCCACCCCACACTGGCTCACAGCAGGGTTTTCAGATTGAAAGTTTGAGTCCCATTCATAAAACCACAGCAGGTAGCGTCCTGCTTCTTAATTAATAGCTGCCCTAAACCAGCAAGCTTGTTATGAGGCTGTGATAGCATACAAAGAAGACAGAGCTGTAGGATGTTGGGGAGAGTGGGAGTTGTGTCTATAGCTTTATGGCTGTAAGTGTGAGTGCATTTTTTTGTTTATTTGTTTTTGGGGTTTTTTTTTTTTTTTGAGACGGAGTCTTGCTCTGTCACCCAGGCTGGAGTGCAGTCGCCGGATCTCAGCTCACTGCAAGCTCCGCCTCCCGGGTTTATGCCATTCTCCTGCCTCAGCCTCCCGAGTAGCTGGGACTACAGGCGCCCACCACCATGTCCAGCTAATTTTTTAGTAGAGACGGGGTTTCACCGTGTTAGCCAGGATGGTCTCGATCTCCTGACCTTGTGATCCGCCCGCCTTGGCCTCCCAAAGTGCTGGAATTACAGGCATGAGCCACCATGCCCGGCCTGTTTGTTTGTTGAGACAGAGTCTTGCCCTGTCACCCAGGCTGGAGTGCAGTGGTGCGATCTTGGTTCACTGCAATCTCCGCCTCCCAGGTTCAAGTGATTCTCCTGTCTCAGCCTCCCAAGTAACTGGGATTACTGGTGCATGCCACCATGCCAGGTTAATTCTTTTGTATTTTTAGTAGAGGTGGGGTTTCACCACGTTGGCCAGGCTGGTCTCGAACTCCTCACCTCAGGTGATCTGCCCGCCTCAGCCTCCCAAAGTGCTGGGATTACAGGCATGAGCCACCAGGCCCGGCCAGTGTGAATGCATTTTAAGAGCAAAGTACAAAGGTCAGTTGGGATCAGCAGAGGGTAATCAGGGCCTCTGTTTCTGTGAAGACCTGGCTGTCCTCAGTGGCATGCTGGGATGCTTTGTCTCACCTAGAAGATGCAGCTTCTGTGGCAAAGCCAAGGTCACATGTTCCTGGGATTGTCAGTGTATTTCACAAGAGAAAACAAGAGTAATGATCTCTTGGAATGAAAACAAAATAGATGATTAAGGAAATTAGGAATGTGTTCAAAAGTAAGCATTTTGAGGAATTCTTCTAATTGCTCATTTTAGAAACTAAATTGGCCTTCATCCTACCAGAAAGATTCTTAAGTTTGGGCACAGTGGCTCATACCTGAGGCAGGCGGATCGCTAGAGTGCAGGAGTTGGACACCAGCCTGGGCAATACCCATCTCTACAAAAAAAATACAGAAATTAGCTGGGCATGGTGGCATATGCTGTGGTCCCAGCTACCTGGGAGGCTGAAATGGGAGGATCACTTGAGCCTAAGAGGTAGAAGTTTGGTCTGAGATCATGCCACTGCACTCTAGCGTGGGCAACAGAGTGAGACCTTGTCTCAAAAAAAAAAAAAAGAAAGATTTTTAAATTGCATAACACATTTGTCCAACTTCAGATCACATCAGATTTTAAAATTTTGTTTGGTTTGAACTGAAGTAGAACAGAAAGTAGAGGATACCACACTTGGAAGGATGACTGCTGTGTCAGGACATTCTTTCTTGCTTCAGTTACACACATATGTACGTGTGCATGCCCTGGGCGGCAGTGTGAAGTGTATGTCTCATTGTAGTGTCATGAACAAAAAACGCCCCTGGTAACAATGCCAGGGGTCTGTCGTGTGTTAAGCGCTCTTTAAAAAAAAAAAGTAGTTATGGGAGGAACTTACCTTGATAGAAATGGAATATTGATCTTTGCAGATGATGATGCTACTCGTTAGAGACAAGAAAATAAAGCATGAAAAGCTTTTTTTCCCCTTAGCTACATCATGGAGAAGGCAGATCTTGTCATAGTTGGTGCCGAAGGAGTTGTTGAAAACGGAGGAATTATTAACAAGGTAAGAGCGTCAGTTCTCCCCAGTTCCCCGCTCAAGACTTGGAGGTGTCTTGCTGACCTAGGACACCACAGCAGTGTTGTTGATTACAGTTCCTTCTAACCCTCCTTCACTTCAGGACTTCATCATGGTGTATTGAGTTTTTGCCCAGTTCCCATAACTCATAGCAATGGTCAGTCCAGTTTTGGTCAAATCTTTCTTCTTTTTAGGTTGGTGTGCATAAATGAAGACAATGTAATTTGGTCAGGTGTGATGGCTGATACCTATAATCCTAGCAATTCAAGAGGCCAGGGTGGGAGGATCACTTGAGGCCTTGAGTTTAACACCAGCCTGGGCAACATAGTGAAATCCTGTCTCTACAAAAACTTAGAAAAATTAGCTGGGCGTGGTGGTGCTTACCTGTAGTTCCACCTGCCGAGGAAGCTGAGGCAGGGGTATCACTGGAGTCCAGGAATTTGAGATTGTAGTAAGTTATGATTACACCACTGCATTCCAGCCTGGGCGATGGTGAGATCCTGTCTCAGAAAAAAAAAAAAAAAAAGTGTAATTTATATTTAATTTATACAAAATTGGCTTGAATTGGAATTGGGGTTTGGTTTTTATTTTTTAATTCTTTATGTGTACATTTTATTCTTTATCATACATATACACATAATAAAAACATACATACAAATATTTTTAAAATACTATTTGTATATTTACATATAAAGTATGTATGTATAAAATATGTGTATTTATATGTAAATATTTTATATATTTTTAAATAGAGACACGTTCACTCTGTTGGCCAGGCTGTAGTGTAGTTCAGTGGTCATAGCTTACTGCAGTCTTGAACTCCTAGCCTGAAGCAACCCTTCCACTTCTCAAAGTGCTAGGATTACAGGCGTGAGCCACTGTGGCCAGCCTGTCATTTGTTTTCATTTTAATTGAGCACATTTGACCTCCGTTTTTTATTACAATTTCTCTCTCCATTATTTAATTTAGAAAGGCTTCATGAAAGCTTTTTTTAGTTAAAATATATATAACATAAGGCCGGGCGTGGTGGCTCACACCCATAATCCCAACACTTTGGGAGGCTGAGGCAGGCGGACCACCTGAGGTCAGGAATTTGACACCAGCCTAGCCAACATGGTAAAACCCCATGTCTACTAAAAATACAAAAAATTAGCTGGGCATGGTGGCGGGCACCTGTAATCCCAGCTGCTTGGGAGGTTGAGGCAGGAGAATCGCTTGAACCTGGGAGGTGGAGGTCTGCAGAGTGTTGAGTCACATAACTGTATATTTAACTTTGAGAAACTAATGATTTTCCACAGCAGCTGCACTACTTTACATTCCCACTAGCAAAGCAAAGGTTCCAGTTGCTCTACATCCTTGCCAACACTTGTTTTTTTAAATTTTTTTGTTTTGAGATGGAGTTTCACTCTTGTTGCTCAGGCTGGAGTGCAATGGCACAACCTTGGCTCACTGTAACCTCCAGCCCCCCGGGTTCAAGCGAGTCTCCTGCCTCTGCCTCCCTAGTAGCTGGGATTACAAGCGCCGTGCCCCCCACCCCACCATGCCCAGCTAATTTTTCATATTTTTAGTAGAGATGGAGTTTCTCCATGTTGGTCAGGCTGGTCTCAAACTCCTGACCTCAGGTGATCCACCTGCTTCGGCCTCCCAAAATGCTGGGATACAGGTGTGCGCCACTGAGCCCAGCCTGCTTTTCTGTGGCTTCTCCTTCGGATGCACTCTAGAGCTCATCCATTCCATTTCCTGCCTTCCCAGATTGGAACCAACCAGATGGCTGTGTGTGCCAAAGCACAGAATAAACCTTTCTATGCGGTTGCAGAAAGTTTCAAGTTTGTCCGACTCTTTCCACTAAACCAGCAAGACGTCCCAGATAAGTTTAAGGCAAGAGTTTTACATATTTGAAGGGGTACTAACATCTAAACAGAAACTTTTGGAAATTGTAGTCCTAAGAATGTTCCAGTAGTTTTTTCACTTCCTATTGCTACTTTCCACAACACTTGGAATACAAAGATAAATTGGTGGCTGGACTCACACATTTGTCCCTAGCATTTCAGTCTTTCAGTCTCGTTAAGTAGCACCATAGATGGGTGGAGAGGAAGCCAGAAGCTGGTGGGTAAGTCCCAGCTTTGGGCTCAACTGAGGTCAGCTCCCATCACAACTTATAAACTGTGCGAGTTGAGGCAAGTCCTTTCATTTCAACCTCTGAACCTGTTTCCTTGTCTGTCAAATGGCACAGCAGTATCTGACAGGGTCATGAGGATTCTAAGATAGTCTTAGCACAGTCCCTGGCACGCTGCAAGCCGTCTGTTGTGACTCTCAGTCATACTTTGAGAGGTCTGGAGAAGTTAATCCAGCATGAGAATGAGGGGACATGTGATTTAAGTTTGTTACACTACAGCTCTTGGCCAGCACGCCACCATGATCTGGCTTATGGCCACAACTCTGCCCTCCTCTCCAGTGTCCTGCATAGCTAGCTTCTCCCATTTTCAGAGAGCAGTCTCAGGAAGTAGCACACTGATCACTCACGCCAAGACCCCACCAGTATGGAGCCCTAAACATTCAGTGCCGACTAATGTGTACTTCTCTCCTCAGTATAAGGCAGATACTCTCAAGGTCGCACAGACTGGACAAGACCTCAAAGAGGAGCATCCGTGGGTCGACTACACTGCCCCTTCCTTAATCACTCTGCTGTTTACAGACCTGGGCGTGCTGACACCCTCAGCAGTCAGCGATGAGCTCATCAAGCTCTATTTGTAACCTGTGGGCCCTTTCCTGCCAAGGTGCAGCTTCTGTAGTTGAGGCTGAGGCAGGGTGAGTAGCTGCTTGACACCCCAGTGAGCCAGGCCAAACCTGAGATGCGTTTTAATGAAGATTTATGGAGTAAGGACTTAAAATCATACATCTTGGAGAACCTTTCTTATTCATTTCAGTCCCATCTAAAAATGTGTCAGTTATTCTAAATCCCAACCTAAATTGTTCTTATGGTTTCTAGAAACTTTCCTTTTCAGTTTCCAGAAATACAAGTTAGATAATTGGCTACTTAACTGATGAAAGATGAGCCCAAGTCCATCTCTCCTCATCCTCCCCTGCACTCGACTGATCTGCCAAAAGCATGCGAGATGCAGGGGAAAAGCAGCCACACCCCTCTGCCACAAACAACCAACAGCTGGTCAGGACGTTACACGCGGTGCCTTGTAAGAGGCAAGAAACACTTGCCGAATCTGCGTCTGGCTTCCAGTGGTAAGCACGTTCCTCAGCAGGATCAAGCCAAACAGGAAAAACTGTACCAAGAGAACATGAGGCGGGCAGAAACATTTAGCAACAGTATTCTGCATGGCTCACTGCTTAAGAAAATGCCTTCTGGAATATTTGTAAACTAAAGTTCTGTATGTGTAAGAGATGTTTAAATATGTTTGGGTCCTAAACAGCTTTTTAAAATTATACTTGGGAACAACTTCAGCATCTTTTCAAATAAACTCTATGATAAAGACTTTGATGTGGTGTTGTGTCAATACTGCAAGCTGACCCAGGCCGTCTAGGGGAAAACACTGTCCAGCTACATTTACACACTTAAGACCCAGGCAATCAGGACACCATTTATTCAACAGAAGGCATAAAAACTGTAATTCTCTTTCCCGGAATATGACTTAATGCCTCTGTTTTTCAGCTGTTCACCAAAAAAAAAAAAAAAAAAAAAAAAAAAATACTGGGACTATTCTTAACACAGAAAAACCCCCAGCACATTAGCCACCTCTGCAGGGCATCAAAGGGTAACTGAAGCCCAGGGCCAGGGACATTCAGGAGGTCAGATGCCTAAAGATACTAAGGAATGGTTTTGAAAATCAGAAGTCAAGAATACTTCAGTACCTTTATGATTAAAAATAACTAGAATAGCCTCAGAAAAAAGAACTCATATATATATAATATGCACATAGGTCTATATATGGGACCCATCATGATAAATAAATACTGACATCTATTATTTACACTCAAATAATTGTACATTTTCTTCTGTTAGACTACTTCAAGACTGGAATTGTTTTGTTTTGTTGTTTTTAATGAGAGGGTCTGGCTGTGTTGCCCAGGCTGGTCTTGAACTCCTGGGCTCAAGTGATCCTCCTGCCTCAGCCTCCCAAAGTGCTGGGATTACAGGCAGGAGCCACTGTACCCGGCCAAGACTGGAATGTTTTTAGTAAAATATTCCCAAGTGTGAAATCCTACATTTCTCCCTCATCTGAAAGGACAGCTTTCAGAGACATGATTCTTCTCAGATGTCTCCTGAAGTTTTGATTTCCATTAAAAGCAAACTGGAGCCATCCACCAAGTTAGGGAACAGCTATGCCCTTGTGGGTTCATCTGTGGCACTGGAATCAGCAGTCATCTTCCAAATCTGAGATCCCTAAATCCACTGTCTTGATTGTTCTTTTGCCAGTTGTCAACAAGCCCTTCTCAAATTCTTCTTCAGTTATCTTGCCTTTCTTAAGTTTTTTCAAGAGTCTTGTGTCATTGAGAAGTTCTTCCATGTCCTCATCTTCAATATCAGAACCCTAAGTACAGAAAAAACCAATAAACTACTAAATTTTTCAGCAATAGTGTTCTAGTGAAACCAGCAGTTTTAAACTCAGGAACTATAAGCTCTCAGATTGGCTTCCGCAAATACAGCAAATTCCCCACCCTAGTCACCAACATAACAGAAATCTGAGAGCCCCACACAATTCCTATTTAAAGAACGACTACAATAATATTTGTTCAAGATTCTAAGTTAATGTAAGTAAAACTAAACTTTACCTCTTCCCTTTTCCTTTTCTCATTCATTTTTTTCTTCTTTTCCTTTTTGGCCTTCTGCTTCGACCAAGCTTTATTTTTTATGAATTTTCTTCTCCCTTCATTTTCTGTTTTCTCTCTTCTTTGTTGCTCCAGGAGTTTCTGCCTCTGCTTTTCTCTAATTTTATCTTTAAATGGAATCGTGTCTGTATTAACGTCCACAGGCACAAAATCTGGAAACTGCTTTCCTCTCAATTCTGGCATCTTGGGCATCCTCAGCAGGGCAAAACCTTGAGCAAGGCTGGCAAAATCAAGATCTAATTCAATCAGAAGATCAGAGTTAGCACACTCAACAGGATTAGAACAGTAATGGCTTACAATATAATTTTTTTCTAACCAAAGGGTTTAATGAATTCATTTAAATTAGAATGAAAATTATTACATTTTTACAAAGTTAAAAGGAATACTCAGCAGCCAGAGGCCAGTTTATTCTGTGTCTACTCAAAGCCTGGGAACACTTCCTTTTATGAGACAAAGCAATCTCATACTTGTAAGATCACCACATGGTTAAGATGGAGACATTATCACATGAAGAAGTCCAACTTACCCTTTAATCTGAAAATCAGGTTGCATTCATGCTTTGCATAAGCCTGGACATATGACACAAAAGCTTTCATGCCCTTTTCAAACACAGCTCTGTCGGCCAGGGCCATGGACTTGAGTTTTGGCAGAAGGTCCACTGTGTTTCTCTGGAGCTTCATCTCCTGCAGGGGGCACTACACACACACATTCTCACCTTCCCTGGTTGGCATCACATCCCCAGGGCTCCCCCATCACAGCCAAGAAAACCAAAAGTAAAACAATTCCTTTTCACCTTTTGAGGTCTGAAGCCCAATTCCAACCCAAATATTTCACATGCTCTAAAAAAGTATGTTAAATTTTTAAAAGAAAATTTAAAAATCAGATTTCACATGACAATCCTAATCTAGTAGCAAAGTATAGCAACACTGGGTCTCAAGTCTCTATTCACCCTTGCCTGGATCCCAGCAGGGCCTGCTACCTCACAGGAGGCTTGGTCACTCCATGACCGAGGTACCTCCACAGCCTTAAAGCCTACCAGGGTGGCCGGGCACAGTGGCTCACGCCTGTAATCCCAGCACTTTGGGAGGCCAAGGTGGGCAGATCACCAGAGGTCGGGAGTTTAAGACCAGCCTGACCAACATGGAGAAACCCCGTCTCTACTAAAAATACAAAATTATCTGGGGTGGTGGCGCACGCCTGTAATCCCAGCTACTTGGGAGGCTGAGGCAGGAGAATCCATTGAACCTGGGAGGCAGAGGTTGCAGTGAGCCGAGATAGCACCATTGCACTCCAGCCTGGGCAACAAGAGCAAAACTCCGTCTCAAAAAAAAAAAAAAAAAAAGCCCACTACCACAGGGCCCCACACTGCCACCACCAGCCCAGCCCCAGTGAGTTTGCAATTTGTAATTTCATTTGCTGACCACATGCTGGAGAAAAACTTTTCCAGCTATCCCGTCACCAGGCATTCTATCTGAAAAAGGATGGCAGCTTACTTTTTGGTTAATTGCAAGGAAATTGATGTATGACTCTTCCATGGGCAGGAGGAACACCAGAGCGCTGCCCCCGTGGCCAATGCGAGCTGTGCGACCGCAGCGATGCACGAAGGCACTGTGAGAACACAGGATGGAAATGGGTACCCAGGTGAGGACAGCTGAACAGAGTTCAGGCTCTAGCTACATGGCTGATGCAGCTAAAATGCTATGGGGAGCCTCTAGCCTCCACAGCTCAGTGTGGACTTGGCCACTTACTAGTGTGAGAAACAGAAGAACTGGCAATTAAACCAGCACTGCAGACAGATATGATTCTGTAATAAACATTTAATGTGAACTCTAAGTAAAACTTGTATCTTTCTCTCTGATCAGACAGGTGGGACATGGTCCCCAGTGGAAAATCTGGGAAACAATGAAAAATACAAAGAATAAAATGAAAATGACCAATAATCTCAGGAGTAATCATCAACACTTCGGGGTTTACAGGCATCTTCCTATGCGTGGATGCATGTATTAGAAATATATGCTGACTTTGGAGAAAGTAGTTGTAATTTTCACATGTGGTGTTATGAACTGCTTTTTTCCATTTAGACATTCTATTGTGTGTTTCTGCAAGAACTGAAAATAATTGAAAATACTTTTAATTGCTGCCAATACAATATCACTATTTCACCACAAATGGGTTATTCATCCATTTGCCTATTTTTGCCTCTTAAAACAATGGGTTTTTGTTTTGAGACAGAGTCTCACACTGTTGCCCAGGCTGGAGTGCAGTGGCACAATCCATTGCCACCTCTGCCTCCTGCGCTCAAGCCATTCTCCTGCCTCAGCCTCTCAAGGAGCTGGGACTAAAGGCACACACGCCTAGCTAATCTGTATATGTATTTTTTGTAGAGATGGGGTTTTGCCATGTTGCCCAGGCTAGTGAATTCCTGGGCTCAAGCGATTCACCCGCCTAGGCCTCCCAAAGTGCTGGAATTACAGGCGTGAGTCACCGCGCCCGGCCTCAAATAATATTTTGTTGTTGCTTTATGTTTTCTCTCATTGTCTGAAATTTCTATAACCTTGCTCTACATGGTGCAGGGCAAGGCCTCAAACCGTTTCAAAACTGTTCTGGCAAGCACTGTAGGAATGCACGGGGTCACTGCAGACCCAAGCACGCTGGAGGCTTGCTATAAAATAATGTTTCAATGAACATCATTATCTGTTTATCTTCTTCAGGATTCCTACTTCATTAGGCTAACTTCCTCAACAGAGAGTGGGTGGCAGCCTCGTACCATACCTTGCATTGCTGGGAGGGTCATACTGCAAAACCCAGTTGACTTCAGGAATATCAATTCCCCGGGCCATCACATCAGTGCACACTAAAATCCCACTAGAAAATGAGAAAACAGCATTCTGAGTAAGGAGGCCACCATCTTCGTCACCATCAAACAGCCTACTGATCTTGATGACAGTGACACACAGGTGCTGGAGCTTCTCACAGAAGCACATGCTTAAGGTAATATTTTGATTTTTTCTTCTTTCTACAAATCTCTAGGACTTCATAAATTCCAATAAAAATTGGAGGGAGGTGAGAGACAGCAAAGGGATTTTAAAAATTACAAGATTTCCATTTGAAAACCGAAACTGTATGGGTCTAATCCTTTGTAGCCATCTGAAAAACAACAACATTCTGTAACTGAGGCCTCGCAGTCAGGTATATCGCTTTGCCCAAAAGAGGACTTTTAATATAGCCAGATGTTCAATGATTAAGAAAAACAGAAAACTGTTATTTGTCAGCACAAACAGAAACAAGTTATGGTCATTGGAAGACACAAGTTCCCTGCTGTGTAGTCACAAGCCTGATAAGCAGACAGTGTTTTGTTTTTTGTTTTTTGTTTTTTTTTTGAGATGGAGTCTCGCTCTGTCACCCAGGCTGGAGTGCAGTGGCCGGATCTCAGCTCACTGCAAGCTCCACCTCCTGTGTTCACGCCATTCTCCCGCCTCAGCCTTCTGAGTTGCTGGGACTACAGGTGCCCGCTACCATGCCCGGCTAATTTGTTTTTAGTAGACACGGGGTTTCACCGTGTTAGCCAGGATGGTCTTGATCTCCTGACCTTGTGATCCACCCGCCTTGGCCTCCCAAAGTGCTGGGATTACAGGCATGAGCCACCGTGCCCACCCTTAAGCCACAGACAGTTTCTACACCAACAGGACAAATGGACAAATGGTTGCTGCTTGACAGTCATCACAACCCTTCCCTGGGCCAGGCACAGAGCAATCTGGGAGTGAAGACAATGCACAGGGCTCCTGTGTCACAGAGCCTGCCGTCTAGCACAGAAGTTCAGTAACTAGGGAAACGACATAGCAAAAGGCAAAGCGATTAGAACAGGGCAGTGGAGGCTCTGGGCATTTACAGAGATGTGATAACCAGGTTACAGAGAGAAGAGGGTTCTAGGCAGGAAAAACAACACAAGCGGACAGCACAGGCTACTGGAGAATGGGGTGTTTGGGGACCTGAAAGAGCAGTGTGGCAGGAAAGCTGTTACCTCCAATGAAGCTCACCCACCTTTGCAATTTGCGGAACTCCATGAAGATCTTATTGCGTTTATATTTCATCTTTCCATGAATGCACATAATCTTCACGCCCTTCACCAGCGCCTCCAGAGCCTTTCCATAGTATTCCACACAGGCACAGGTACTGCAAGAGGGACAGAGGGCTTAGAGTCATTGACCACCTTGGTCCTTCTACAACCGGGAGAGGGGAACTGTGAGCAATAGCTGCAGCAGACACAACCTAACTACAAGCCCTCCCTAGGGGAATGATGAGAATGGCAGTGGAAATCATCCACAACTGAGTTCTCAATCTGTAATCCTCTCAGCCAATGAAAGGCCAATCTTTTGATAAAATACCTTAAACATGAGTTAAAACCCCCAAGGACGTATTCTACTGTCTAAAGATGTTCTAACAGGAAATCTCCCTGACCCCGAAAAAGGAATTGAAGTGAAACAGTCATTCAGAACAAAAGCAATGACATCTTAGCCACAAATAGTCTTACAAGATTTAAAAACATTCCTGCTTTTCCTTTAGGGAACTGCTTCTTCCCCAATTAGCAGGATTCCCAAGGGCTCAGCAAATAACCCAAGCTAGACCAATCAGATAGATCCCTTCTCCCAGATATTTGGGACTTGGAGCTGAGTCATCCAAGGACAAAAAGGAGGTTGGCAGAGTCATCCCAATAAAGATATGCCCTAAACAGATGGCCCATGAACTCCTGCCAGGGAGCCTCCTTCCCTGGGAGGTGGACACTCAGCATTCTCTCAATCTGTGAGTTCCTTACCCAGTACCCTTCTAATACAGCTCACCCTGGACCCTCTTCCTTAACTGGAAGCATTCCCCAGTGATTTCCCATCCTTTTGCAGATGAGGGAACTGAAACTTACCAGAAACACAGAGTAAGTGGCAGCACCAGAACCCAAGTCAAATGCTCCTCCCACTATACCAGACTACTGCATTCCAGTTTGGGCTAACTCTTGTCTACTTCAGTTCCTCCACCTATGCTGTGACCGCCACCAGACTGGTCCGTCTTTCCACCTTGAGTCACATAGTATGTAACGAAGTGGTGTTTCACACACTAAGCCTCATCACCCACAGATCTGGTGGGTTCTGAAATCAATTTAGTGGGTCTCGACCAGCATTTTTAAAAAATTAACAGCTGGAGTAGAACAGAATAGAAAACATCCCACCTAGCAGAGTGTGGTTTCGTGAAAACCTTTGTTTTATTGTCTTGTTTGGGTGTGTACCGAATTGTACTTCTTACTGTGGGTCATGGTCAATATTGCATTTTATTTGTAGGATAACACATGGAAAAGTAATATAAAATTATTTTTTATGTACTGCTAAAGATCAACACATTTATCCCTGGAGAAAAGGGGAAAAGAACCAACCAGTCCAAAGAACATATGCATCTGTCCCTACACTGCCTTCTGACCACAGGACAAAACCCCACTGTGGCGGACTCCATGGATGGCTGATAAACACTATTCCCAACCACTTCTTGCTTCGCTGGCCACTACCACAGAGCCAGAAAAGCTGTGCGCTCATTTTCTCTGCTGCTCTTGAAGTGAGGGGCCACCACATGACCCACTTTTGGCCCCTAAGATGAATTCACAGCTGAAGTCAGCTAGGGCAGAGGGGTTTCTGAGGAAGCTCTTTGTTTTACTGATTAAAAGGCATGGATATAGCTAATATTGCCATACGCCCCCTCTGCCTTTCCCCCCTTATCTTTCTTCAGTGCAGACATGACAGGGTATAATAGTGGTCATCCAGAATCCATGAGGTGACACACAGGAAGAGAAGATCAATCACATCAACATTGATCTTGACATGAATGACACATGAAACCCCTGTGAGAAACTGCCTCTGCCTTTGGACTTATTTTTACAGGACAAAAATAAAGCCAACCTTGTTCGAACCACGAAAGTTGGGTTTTCAGTTATTTGCAGCCAAAAGCATTCCCGAGAGAACCATGCTAGATGGAATCCAAAACCCAAAGGCCGCATGCACCTGCACGTTCTGCCTGAATCCCTGACGCCCCTACCAGAGACCAGAGGAGTACCTGAAGAAGACCAGGTGTTTCTCCTGCTTACGATTGCGAAGAAAATGGACCAGCTGATTAAATTTCTCATCTGCCTTGCACACCTGCACAAGAAAAAGGGAAACTAATAAAAAACATATTTGGCAATAATAATCCCCATGGCTATTTTCCGTTTCAGCATTAAATTTTAAGGAATGTCATTTTCCCCACAGGTAGGACAGACTTTAGTCAGAATGTTAACTGGTCTACCTAGCTCAGAGTAAACATTGACATGTGCTGCTGCCTCTAAGAGTTAATTTGTATGTCACAAAATCATACAGCTCAGAGAAACACAGTCATCCAACAGGCAACAGTTCCCAACTCCCAATCCCAATATACATGAGAGCTGGTACACCATCTCCAGAGTAGATTTTTATTTATTTATTTATTTTACCTTTTCTTTTCCTTTTTTTTTAAGAGACAGACTCTCAATATGTTGCCCAGACTGGTCTCAAACTCCTGGCCTGGCCTCCGGTGATCCTCCCACCTCAGTTCTAAAGTGCTGGGATTACAGGCATGAGCCACCTAACCCAGCCAAAGGATATATATATTTTTTTAAATGCAGATTCTTGGGTACGACATACAGATTCTGATTCAGTAGGTCTGAGATTGGACCTAAGAATCCATATTATTTAAGAGTTCCCCCAGGAAATTCTGATGCCAAGTTCAGAAGTCACTGCTCTAAGATGAATAATGATTTCCAGAAAGCAATGTACATAATTATTTAAAAGGCTTCCATGGACTCAGACCCCATTGCTTTTTTTCTTTCTTTTTTTTTTTTTTTTTTTTGAGACAGAGTCTCGCTCTGTCGCCCAGGCTGGAGTGCAGTGGCACAATCTCGGCTCACTGCAAGCTCCGCCCCCCAGGTTCACACCATTCTCCTGCCTCAGCCTCCCAAGTAGCTGGGACTACAGGCGCCGCCACCTCGCCCGGCTAGTTTTTTGTATTTTTTAGTAGAGACGGGGTTTCACCGTGTTAGCCAGGATGGTCTCGATCTCCTGACCTCGTGATCCGCCCGTCTCGGCCTCCCAAAGTGCTGGGATTACAGGCTTGCGCCACCGCGCCCGGCCTGCTTTTTTTCATAATGCAATCAAGTCCTCCATTCAAACTCCCAAATTAGAGACATTAAATTTACCTGAATGCATTCATCCTATTTTTACCAAAACCAAATGCCCAGTTTGGAATTTTTTCTCATGTACTCAGCCATCTCTAAATGCAAAATGAATGTAAAACAACAGAACGCAACAGTAGCCACAGTGGGTATCCAAAGCTAACATTAGTACGAGTATCCCTCATCCAAGGTCCCTGGGACTTGAAGTGTTTTTTGGCTTTTGAATTCTTTCAGATTTTGGAATAGCTGCACTATACTTACCAGTTGGGCATCCCTAATCTGGAAATCCGAAATCTAAAATACTCCAACAAGCATTTCCTTTCCGCATCATGCTGGCATTCAAAAAACTCCAGATTCTGGAGCATTCTGGATTTTGAAATTTCAAGTTAGGAATGCTCAACCCATACTTACCGTGTACTAAGCACTATCATGAACATTTTTGCATGGATTAATTAATTAATCCTCCAGCAACCCTACGAAGCTGTATACTACTGTGGCCCCCATTTGACAAGTGAGGACCTCTAAGTTCACCGGTTAATTTAGTAGGGGCCAAAGCCAAGATATGCACCAGGCAGTCCTGCTCTAGCTGCTCTAGCTGCTCTAGCACCCATGCTCTCCACACTACCCTATGCAGAGTCCTTCCCTCTGCTTGGGAAGAGCTAGCCTCCTCCCTCACCCAGCCTGGACTGTCAGAAACATCAATGGCAACTACAACTCCCACTTCTGATGAGCCTATCTGATCTCGACAACACTCTCCAGTTACACTAGGTGCAGTTTCTCATTTGGAAACTCATTCTACCTTTAATCTGCCTACAAATTGACACAAACAGGAGAGCAGCCTCGACAACCTCACAGTCTACAGCAATAGGAACACTCTGGTTTCAAGACCAGCCTCCTTCATTTTGAACAGCAGACATGTTCAGGAGCTAGGGAACCCCTCCAGGCCTAAAGAAAAATTTAACCTGAAAAAGCTTATTGCAAAAGAGAAAGAAAAGTCCCAGCCCCAGGCTGGTGGGACAATGTACCATCAGCAGTGGCACTGGCTTGTGGGTTCCTCCGTGCCCTGATGGTGCTGCCTCCCCTGCAGCCTGTGCTCTCTGCATTTGTGCCTCGTGGCCCATCCCAGCAATGGGACGGAACAGAACAGGGGTGGGGAGTGGCCTCATTACTAAACAATCAAATTGCCAAAAGCCCATCTACTTCCTTGTGAAGAAACTACAGAAACTAGCAGCCAGTATTTACTACTAGAAATTCAGCATATTTGGGCCAGGCACAATGGCTTATGCCTGTAATCCCAGCACTTTGGGAAGCTGAGGCAGGCAATCATGAAGTCAGGAGTTCAAGACCAGCTTGGCCAACGTGGTGAAACCCCACCTCTACTAAAGATACAAAAAGTTAGCCGGGCACGGTGGCACACGCCTGTAATCCCAGCTACTCAGGAGGCGGAGGCAGGAGAATTGCTTGAACCCGGGAGGCAGAGGTTGCAATGAGCCGAGATCGTGCCACTGCACTCCAGCCTGGGTGAGACACTGTCTCAAAACAAAAAACAAACAAACAAAAAGGCTGGGCGCAGTGGCTCACGCCTGTAATCCCAGCACTTTGGGAGGCCGAGGTCGGCAGGTCACCAGGTCAGGAGATCGAGACCATGCTGGCTAACACAGTGAAACCCCGTCTCTACTAAAAAAATACAAAAAATTAGCCGGGCATGGTGGCGGGTGCCTGTAGTCGCAGCTACTCAGGAGGCTGAGGCAGGAGAATGGTGTGAACCCGGAAGGTGGAGCTTGCAGTGAGCTGAGATCATGCCACTGCACTCCAGCCTGGGTGACAGAGTGAGACTCCGTCACAAAAAAAAAAAAAAAAAAAAAAAAAAAGAAATTCAACATATTTGATGCAGGTCAAAAATACACAACATTTACAGAGTAGAACATTTATTTCCACCCCACAAAATCTCCTCAGGAGTGAGTCTGTCATTTGATTTTCTGTGTTCCACCTGCACATCTAACTATGCCCTTCTCTGTGACACAGGCTGTTCTGACAGGCCCAGGAACTACAGAGTTTAATCATGCCTGCACCCAGCACACCCCAAGCATGTAAAATAGAAACATTTTGTCACTTGAGGGTAGGAGGTTCAGAGACACTGTCCTTAGAGACTGTGCTTAAAATACATTTATGCCCAATTTAACTAACTTACTCATTCATGAGCAGGAACACCCAGACCATTTCTCCTAGCTCTGTCCCCAAATGCATTTCATATGTGCTACAGGGTCTCATATATTTATTCTACCAGTACAATTTCCATAAAATGAGCACTGGTCATTATCACTAAGTAAGAAGCAAGCCCAGGCACTCACCATGTAGTAGTTTTCCAGGCGGGAGGGGGTCTTCTGGGCGCCGCTGGCTGCCACGCCTTTCTCCTTCACCGAGACCCGGACAGGGTTCCGGAGGCCTGCTCTCACCAAGTTCTCCACTTCCTGCGTCTGAGTGGCTGAGAAAAGGCCTGTTCTCCTCTGCTTTGGCAAAAACTCCAGGATGGTGTTGATGCTGATAAAAAGAGGGCTCACACTTAACCGCTCACTTGCCAGCATAATCAACACACACTGCTTCACGATACCAAACAGGTATTCAGAAAGACTGAAAGTGAAGCCATCAAAATATTTATAGCACATACACTGGGAGGTGAGATTATGGGTGATTCTTTGTTTCTTCTTTATACTTTCATTTTTCCAAGGTTCCTCAAATTTTAGCATATAATTATACAATTATAATGATATGTGAATTACATCCCATTAAACTGTTTATTAAAAAACAACAAAACTGCCAGGTGTGATGGCTCATGCCCGTAATCCCAGCACTTCGGGAGGCTGGGATAGGAGGATCTCTTGAGCCCAGGAATTTGAGACCAACCTGGGCAACATAAGGGGATCTTGTCTCTGCAAAAAAAAAAAAAAAGGCGTGATGGCATGTGCCTGTAGTCCCAGATACTCAGGAGGCTGAGATGGGAGGCTCACTTAAGCCCAGGAAGTAAAGGTCGCAATGACCCAAAATCATGCCACTGCATTCTAGCCTGGATGACAGAGTGAAACCCTGTCTCAAAAAAAAAAAAAAAAATACTTGAAGGAAAGTGCATTATAAGATCAAAGATAGAACGGGAATAAAAATCACGTGGTAGAATTTGAAAGCTCAAACTACTTAATGATTTGAAATTAAAATGTGGTTAATAAAAATACTTAGGCCAGGTATGGTGGCTGGCGCTTGTAATCCTAGCACTTTGGGAAGCCTAGGTGGGAGGATCACTTAAGCCCAGGAGTTTGAGAACAGCCTGGGCAACATGGCAAAACCCCAGCTGCAAAAAATAAAAAAAACAGGCATGGTGGTGTGCGCCTGTAGCCCCAGCTACTCAGGAGGCTGATGCAGGAGGATCACCTGAACCCAAGAGGTTGAGGCTGCAGTGAACATAATCACACCACTGCACTCTGGCCTCGGTTACAGCACAAGACCCTGTCTCTAAAAAATAAATTAATTAAAAATAAATTAAAATGAAAATAAAAAATAAAAATACCTAGTCATAAAGTGGTAAACTCCATTTTGCTTTCCTTTTGTATTAGTATCATCCACCCACTCAAGCCAGTGAAGTCCAAAGTCCAGTACCTTGCCTCAAACCCCATGTCCAGAAGTCTGTCTGCCTCATCCAACACCAGGACATCCAGGGATCGCACACAGCTGGCCAGATCCAAGCCTTCCGCCTTCCTTCGGAACATGTCCTCCAAGCGGCCTGGAGTGGCCACAATGATGTTCCCACTTTGGAAAGAAAGTTAACATTTACCAAGCTCTCTGGATCTTGGGAATGTGGTTAATGATTACCAAAATACCAAGCTTCATATCCCTCCAAAGTCATTTAAGCCCTAGTGAAGAGAACGAAGAGCATGAGAGTGGAAAAGAGTGCTGTAGGGTAGAAAATGTGAGCGCTGCAGCGAAACAGGATCTGGGTTCTGGGCTATGACCCAGGCAAGGTTGGCAAACTCCAGCTCCCAGACCAAACCTGGGCTGCTGCCTGTCCTTGCCAAGTATTTTATTGGCAGACAACCACGCCCATTTATTCACATGTTGCCTATCGCTGCCTTCACACTGCAACAGCAGTTGAGTAACTGCGACGGAGACCATATGGTTCACAAAGCCGAAAACAGTTACCATCTGCTCATTTACAAAAAAAGCTTCCCAACCTCTGACCTACGCAAGTTAACTCAACCATTGTAGGCCCCAGGTAGCTCACATGTAAAATGGGAATGTTGACAGAATTAGAGAACCCTATGTAAAGATCACAAACTGGCAGACTCAGGGCCGGATGTGGCTCCCTCAGACTGGCTCACCTACAAGATGTGTTTTTCAAACGTGGATTACACGCCAACAGTTAAAAAATCAGGAGATTACACACACAAATCTGGAATTCCATCTTCTTTTTAAAAAATTCAAAACCTGGCACAACTGAGCTCAGTCCCACCAGGCAGCTACCAGCTGGAGCTGAGTATTCCAGGCAGCTACTGGCCAGTTCCTCACCATCCCCCAGTCCCGCATTCATCTATCCTGACCACTCATTTATCCTCACGTCGTTCTCTTGACCTCTGTAGGAACTTGAGTTAAGTACTCATCAGGCCCTCATGGGAAGGAGCTAGCAAAGCGCCAGAGGAAGCTGGCCTGGAGAAAACACCTTTTTGCAGGGGGAGGAGGCTGCTGAAAGGGGGACCCACAGTTAGGCTGAGATCACATATCAATTCTTAGGTTCAGTGCCAAGAGCAGCAAATAAATGAGCAGACATGAGCAAACTCACCCTTGTTGCTTAAACCTCTCAACATCTTCTCCAGGATTCCTGCCTCCAATCCAAAGAATCTGGCTAAAACAAGAAAACAGTCTTTAAGTTCGGCAAAACAACAGCCCGTGGCTAACAGGGACACTGCATCCAATTCACCTGAACTGGGGGAAGTGCTTCGTGAAATGCGACAGGACCTCGTCTATCTGAACGGCCAGCTCTCGGGTGGGGGTGATGATTATGGCTCCGACCTGCCCACATGGAAGGAAGGGACACAGTCAGCAGCACAAGGGCCTCCTGGAGAGGAACTCATAGGCCCTCCGCCCTCCACCGCACACAGAACTTCCAGAGAAACCGCAGTTACTGGGCGTTCTCAGCAGCATCCCTGAGCACGTATCAACTACTTTGAATTACGGTTATTTGTCATCATACACTGCAGTTATGCTCTTTAAAGTCACTCACACTAAGAACACTGAATTAGTGAACGCTGAACCACTGCTCACAGGGGAAACGCAGGGTTAGGTTCCTGCCAGTCTCTGGACATGACATTTTTGTCAACCAATCAATACATAACTCTATTTTATGTCTGTTTGTGCTTAAAAGACTCTATTTAATATATACTGTTGATTCATTCCTATTGAACTCGTGGCCAACAGCACATTAACTCATGCCTGAGCTTGTGCTTCTCTAGTGCGGGGATTCTCTCTGCACGTCATAACCTTCTTGCGCCCAGGAACACTAGACTGCACTACACCACGGAGCCATTTCAAAAACCAAAATCACCAACATAAAGCAACAAATGTGCAAAATGGCTGGGCACGCTGGCTCACACCTGTAATCCCAGCACTTTGGGAGGCCGAGGTGGAAAGATCACTTGAGCCCAGAAGTTTGAGACCAGCCTGGGTAACATATCAAAACCCCTTCTCCTCAAAAAATACAAAAAATTACCCAGATGTGGTGGTCCACACCTGTAGTCCCATCTACTTGGGAGGCTGAGGCAGGAGGATAGCTTCAGCCTGGGAGGTGGAGGTTGCAGTGAACTGAGATCACACCACTGCACTCCAGTCTGGGTGACAGAGCAAGACCCTGTCTCAGGTAAAAAAGGAAAAAAAAAAGGTGAAAAACATAGCACTAAATAGATGACGAAAAGGACACTGTTTACACCTGAGCAGTAAAACAAAAGGCAGCTCTGCCCATGCCCATGACCACAGAAGCACCGAGGATCCACTGGGGTGTTGTAAGTTTCAACGAGCAGACAAATTAACAAATATAGAATCCACAAATAATGAGGATTGTCTTTTTTTTCTTCAAGTTTCTTTCATTCATTCATTCATTCATTCATTCATTATTGGTAGAGATAAAGTCTCACTGTGTTGCCCAGGCTGCTCTCAAACTCCTGGACTCCAGTGATCCTCCAGACTCGGCCTCCCAAAGTGCTGGGATTACAGGTGTGAGCCATGGCTTCTGATCTATTTTTTCAAGTTTGTAGCCAGCTTCTTAATCCAATGTGAACTCTGATGACTAGGTGAAAATAAATCACTTTCACTGTCCTCACCTGACTCTTCTTTAACTTCTCTTCTCTTCTCAGAAGAATTTCCAGGATGGGGATGACAAAAGCGAGTGTTTTGCCACTACCTGTGACCTGCAAACAGAGAGTTTTGGTTTCCTTTTCTTCCTCAGAGTTCATGTGAGGGAAAACACAAGGACAGGCTGCACGTACCCGAGGCACTCACCGCTTCTGCAGCGACATCTTTGTTTCGCATGAACAGAGGGATGGTTGCAGACTAAAGGGAGAGATTGCAAAGCACCGGTTAAAGGATGTCATCACTTCACAGGTGAGAACCGAAGCCCTAGGAACATAACGGGCAGCTAAGGCCACAGTGGACCCCACCACAAAAGGGTCTCTGAGTAACCAAGTCACCATACAGAAGTTGAATCAAACGTGGCAACTGTGTCTACATGGACAACGTGTGGGGACAGTGAGCTGAGCTGGGAGGTGGGAGTCCTGAATTCTATTCCTGTCTCTCCAACTTCCCTCTCTGAACCAGGAAGGGGTTGAAGACATTGGGTTTTAGGGTCCCTTCCAGCTCTAATATCACAGAATCAAGATTCAAATAAACCTTCTCATTTTAAGCACTGTAGAGGTCTCCAGACTTTACAAGAAACCTGGTTTTAGCATCAAAAAAGCTAAACCTCAATTAGATTTAGGCCTTGGCCTCGTGGCTGCTCCCTCCAGGGTTCAGCCCTGGTCCCCAGGGCCTGAGCTCACTTAAATCACAGCAGATGTAATATTATTCCAACTGCCTCTGCACAGTGATTTCTATCCTCCCTATCAACCCCCAAGGGAACATTTGGCAATGTAAGGAGACATTTTTGGTTGTCAAAACCCAGGGTGGGCCAGGCATGGTGGCTCACATCTATAATTACAGCACTTTGGGAGGCCCTTAACTCCCTTAAGGCTAGGAGTTCCAGACCAGCCTTGGCAACACAGGGAGACTCTATCTCTACAAAGAAAATTTTTTAATTATGTGGGTGTGGTGGTGCATGCCTGTGGTCCCAGCTACTCAGGAGGCTAAGGTAGGAGGATCACCTAGGCCCAGGGAGGTTGAGGCTGCAGTGAGTTGTGACTGTACCACCACACTCCAGCCTGGATAACAGAGCAAGACACTGCCTCAAAAAAATAAGTAACTAAATAAATTACAGCCAGAGTTGGGAAGTGATGTCCTCTGGTGGACAGATTCCAGTGATGCTGTTAAACATCCTACAATGCCCAGGACAGCCCACAACAAAAAATTTTCCAGCACAAAATGTCAATAGTGCCGAGGGTGAGGACGCTGCTCCAGGCCACTGCTGTCCAATAGAAATAAAATGTGAACCACATAAACAATGTTAAATTTTCTAGTAGCCATAGTAAGAAAAGTAAAAAGAAATGGGTGAAATAAATTTTAATATTTTATTTAACCCAATATATCAAAAATATTGTCCCTTCACATTTAATCAATATGTAAAAATCAACATTTTCCATTCTTTTTTCATACTAGGCCTTCAAAATATACTGTGTTATTTGATACTCAGAGTATACTTTGATTTGGACAAAGTGTATTTCAAGCACTCTATAGCCGTGTCTGGTGACTGTGTAGTGGATGACAGGTCTAGACAATGAGCTCTGAGGCTCTGAGGATCTGAGGCCAGGTTCCCTAGGCAGGGAACACAGCACTCCCAGTTTCCATCTCCAGCCCTGTCTGCTGGAAATAGATTCTCCACATTCCCAGGAATCTTATGGGCATCTCAAACTCAAGGCTTCATTTATTTTCAAAAATTTTTTGCTATTACAGGGCCTCCCTATGTTGCCCAGGCTGGTCTTGAACTCCTGGTCTCAAGTGATCCTCCCACCTTAGTCTCCAAAAGTGCTAGGATTACAGGCGTGAGCCACCGTGCCCGGCCATTATTTATTTTAATTTCAGAGATGGGGGTCTCACTATGTTGCCCAGGCTGGTCTTGAATTCTTGGGCTCAAGGGATCCTCCCACCTCGGCCTTCCAAGTAAATGGTACTACAGGCGGGTGCCTCTGTACCCAGCTCAATGTTTAAAAACAGGACTCTTGTGGCCAGGCACGGTGGCTCACACCTGTAATCCCAGCACTTTGGGAGGCCAAGGCGGGCGTATCACCTGAGATCAGGAGTTTGAGACCAACCTGGCCAACATGGCAAAACCCTATCTCTACTAAAAACACAAAAATTAGCCAGGCATGGTGATGCATGCCTGTAATCCCAGCTACTCGGAAGGCTGAAATGGAAGAATCATTTGAACACAGGAGGCAGAAGTTGCAGTGAGCTGAGATCATGCCATTGCACTCCAACCTGGGCAACAGAGCAAGATTCTGTCTCAAAAACATTAAAAAAAAAAAAAAAAAAAACCCACCCACACACACAAAGAAAAAAAAACAAGAACTTTTGACTTTCCTTCTGAAACCTGCTACACCCTCCAGCCATTCTCGGGAAATGGTAACACCATTCATTCAGCTACTAAGAATAAAAATCGGTGGGGTGCGGTGGTTCAGCCTGTAATCCCAGCACTTTGGGAGGCTGAGGCAGGTGGACCACGAGGTCAGGAGTTCAAGACCAACCTGGCCAAGATGGTGAAACTCTGTATCTACTAAAAATACAAAAAATTAGCCGGGCGTGGTGGCAGGCGCCTGTAATCTCAGCTACTGAGGAGGTTCAGGCAGAGAACTGCTTGAACCCAGGAGGAGGAGACTGCAGTCAGCCGAGATCGCGCCACTGCACTCCAGCCTGGGCAACAGAGTGAGACTCCATCTCAAAAGAAAAAAAAAAAAAAGAATAAAAACTTCAGCTCCCTCTAGAGCCTTTTCTTTCCTAACCTCCACTTCCGGTCCCTTAGCAACCTTAAAGTTATTCCAAATGTGACTTCTCAATATCCACTGGTTCCACCCTACTCCAAGCCACCATCATCTCTTACCTGACAATGGCCTCCTAAGCGACCTGCCTGCTCTTATGTCTCTTATGCCTGAAAAGGCCACTCTCTAAAGAGAAATCACAGCCCTTCCTTTCCTAAACATCTTCCCAGATAAGATGGCTTCCCACTACACTTAGAATGAAATCCAAGCTTCTACAAGACCCTACACAATCCATCTCTTGCACTACTCTTGATGTTCAGTCACAAAGGCCTCCTTTCTGCTGCTCAAACCATTTGCAGCCTGCCCCAGGGCATTTATGTGCACTGGTATTTCTCTCCGCTGGAATAATCTCCCCCTCGTCACCCGAGAGCCAGCTCCTTCTCAATCACTGAGGTCTCAGCTCAATGACACCTCCTCAGAGAGGCCTTCCTTAGCACCCTGTCTCACCTCCTCTCCAGTCCTCGAGTGACACTATCACAACAGTCTTAGTTCCTTCATAACATTTACTAGCAGCTGAAATTATCCTTTCTCTAGCTCCTGCGCTAGAAAGTAAGGCTATGAGCAGATGCCAATACTGCAAACTCCCCAGAGCCTAGAAGAGTTCCTGGCACATAGTAGGTCCTCAAGAAATACTTCTTGAAAAGATGCATAACAACAGGTAACCCTCACTGAGCTCCTATAGTGGGCCGACTGGTTTATTTAGTCCCCACAGCAACCCCATAAGGAGGGTGTTATTTTTTCATCATTTCACAGAGAAGGAAAATGAAGCACGTTGAGGTTAAGCCATTTGCCCGAGGTCTCACAGCTACAGGGGGCAGGGCTAGGATGAGAACCAGGCTCGAGACCCCAGCACCCGAGGGCAGGGTGGGTAGCGGCCCCTCTGCCGGCTCGCTGGCCGAGCAGCTCCGCATCCCGCCAGTCTGGGCAGCCTGGAGACTAGGCAAGAGCCCCAGCTGGAGGGATGAGCGCCCCAGGGCTCGGGTCTGTCCGATCACCTCCGCTGTGTCCGAAGCAGCGGGTGCCTGCCCCCCTCCCAGCCTCACTCTCCCCCAGGAACCGATACCTGCACCGGCGTCATGTACGGGAAGCCCAGCTCCCGCAGCGCGCCCAGCACCCGCGGGTGCAGTGACACTGGCAGAGACTCCCAGGAGCCCTCCGTCACATGCTCCATGGCGCTCTCCTTTGCCGTCTCGGTCGCCGCTGCTCGAAGGCGCCCTGTGCACCCGCAACGAGCACTTCCGCTTCCGGCAGCTCCGGCGGCCGGCCGGGAGCTTTGCTGGAGCAGCAGAGTTCCGGAGCGCTGCGAAGGCTCCAACGCCGCGGGAGCCAGGAAAGGCGCCCGCGGGACGGTGGAGGCAGGCGGCGGGGCAGGCTCGGGGAGTTACACCCGCCCCGCACCCCTGGGCTCCGGGCGCCTCTCAGCACCGGGCAAGGGTTTTGGCGGGAGGGAGTCTGGCCCGGCTCTCCCACTTTCTTTGTCCCTCGGAGGCAGGTGGCAGCACAGGACCGCGTCCAGGCCGAAGGACCGCGGGGCTGGCTGCCGTGGGCAGAGAAACGTGTCGGGGCCCCGGGTTAGCAGCCCTGCAAAACAGGCACCCGCTGATGCCGGGGGTCCGATGGCCGGTACATCCTGAATGTTGGTTTACTTTCCCGGAAGTTAGGGTCAGAGTCCTAAGTAAGAACACTGTCCTATTCCACTATTCACAGTTGGCCTGGGCCATTCATGTCCACATACACCTTCACTCAGCAAGCTTTTATTGACCACTCATTACGTGCCCTCTATGAGGGCCTATCTCCTCCAGCTATGTGCATGACTTGCTCCTGTTGAGGCTCTGAAAACGAAACCCCAAAATGAAGACCCCAGAGGCAGCCTCAGAAGCAAGTTTCTCTCTGACCTTCTGCCCCGTCTCTGATCTCTGATTCTGTGAGGCTGGCCATAGAAACTCAAGAATCCATCTTGCCCGTCATGATGGAGCATAGAAACGGGAACCCCTTTTCTCCAAAGTCAGCCATAAAACCTAAAAATATTACTCTCTCTTTCTCCACCTTTCTGTGAAAAAACTGGCCATAAAGAAATTATCGGCCGGACATGGTGGCTCACGCCTGTAATCCCAGCACTTTGGGAGGCCAAGGCGGGCAGATCACGAGGTGAGGAGTTCGAGACCAGCCTGGCCAATATGGTGAAACCCCGTCTCTACTAAACATACAAAAATTAGCCGGGCGTGGTGGCGCATACCTGTAAGTCCCAGCTACTCGGGAGCCTGAAGCAGAAGAAGAATCGCTTGAACCAGGGAGGTGGAGGTTGCGCCACTGCACTCCAGCCTGGGCGACAGAGTGAGACTCAGTCTCAAAAAAAAGGAAAGAAAAGAAAAAAAGAAATTACCTGGGCTGGGCGCGTGGCTCACGCCTGTAATCCCAGCAGTTTGGGAGTCCGAGGCAGGTGGATCACCTAAGGTCAGGAGTTTAAGACCAGCCTGGCCAAAGTGGTGAAATCCCGTCTCTATTAAAAATACAAAAAAATTAGCCAGGTGTGGCAGGTGCCTGCAGCTACTCCGGAGGCCAAGCAATGAGCATCGCCTGAACCTGAGAGGTGGAGGTTGCAGTGAGCCTAGATCGCACCACTGCATTCTAGCCTGGGCGACAAAGTGAAACTGTTTCAAAAAAAAAAAAAAAAAAAAGGCCAGACGCAGTGGCTCACACCTGTAATCCTAACACTTTCAGAGGCCGAGGTGGGCGGATTGCCTGAGCTCGAGTTCGAGACCAGCCTGGGCAACACGGTGAAACCCCGTCTCTACTAAAAATACCAAAAAAAATTAGCCGGATTTGGCGGCGTGCACCTGTAGTCCCAGTTACTTGGGAGGCTGAGGCAGGAGAATTGCTTGAACCCAGGAGGCGGAGGCTGCAGTGAGCCAAGATGGCGCCACTGCACTCCAGCCGGGGCGACAGCGAGAGACTCTGTCTCTAAAAAAAAAAAAAAAAAAAATTTCTGACCTCTTTTGTTTTGCTTGTAGGTTGTAAGACCCCATTACAGGAAGGGTTCTGTCCCCTACCCAGAAGGAAGGAATGCTGCAGAGAGGCCGAAAAGAATCCAGACAGGCCTTGCTGGGCTTCCCCACTCAGTCTGTGAGCATTAGATCATGCCCTTCTTGTCCAGTCCTATTTCTACTCAGCTGTGCATATTTTGTTGAGCCTAAGCATAAAAATGAATATTTTTCCCTGTAACTTTGGGTCTTAATTCTGAAGGTTCCTTTGTTGTGCAAAACCATGACCAAATAAATTTGCATCACTTTCCTCCTATTAATCTGCCTTTTTTCAGTTGAATTTTTAGAAAAACCTGAGGACAAAAGGTAAGTTTTCCCCTACACTCCCTTACATTCCACTTGGACTTTTGAAATCACCTTCTCAGTGTTACCTTCCTTTCCGCATCACTGAAACTCCTACCCTCATTTATTTTCCCTTCTTAGCATTTACCATTATCTTTCTTGCTACACACACACACACACACACACACACACACACAACCTTACTAGGTTCATCTCTGCCACCAAAATGTAAAACCCACACTAATGGGGTCTTTTCTCTATCTTCTTTATCCCAGGGACTATCACTGTAGCACACAGCAATCACTCAAATATTTGTGGGATCAATAAATGGGAATACAACTCATGCAGACTGCAGTCATCTCAAATTAAGTAAAAGACAACAGCCTAAAGCCACATTTTCAATGAAATGATCATCACATTCTCAAAACTCTTCGACAACTTTTATAAAATGGGACTTCGGCCAGGCACGGTGGCTCATGTCTGCAATCACAACACTTTGGGAGGCTGAGGCAGGAGGATCACTTGAGCCCAGGAGAATGAGGCCAGCCTGGGCAAGGTACAGGAGACTCTGTCTCTATGAAAGTAATTTTTTAATTAGCTAGGCATGGTGGTGCATGCCTGTGGTCCCAACTACTCGGGAGGCTCAGATGAGAGGATCACTTGAGAGGTTAAGGCTGCAGTGAGCCATGTTTGTGCCACTGCACTCCAGTCCAGGTAACAGAGCAAGACCCTGCTTTTAAAAAACAAAAGATGTAGTCCCAGCTACTTGGAGAGCTGAGGTGGTAGGATCACTTGAGCCTGGGGGTTGAGGTCAGTGAGCAGAGATCAAGCTAACGCACTTCAACCTGGGAATAGAGTGAGATCCTGTCTCCAAAAAAAGAAAAGGGGGGCATTTCACAGACCGTTCTGAAAGCAAAGGCACAGAGAAATTGCATATCTGTGTGTGTCTTCTGTGCTCTACTACCTACTAGTTTTCTGACCTTAGGACCCATTCCAAGCCTGTTTTCCTCCTCACTTCCAAAATGATTTTACCCAAGGTAATGGCAGTTTTGAAGCATGAATAAGACAGACCAAGTAAAGTGCTTAGTACTGGATCAAGACATTACACAGTACTCAATAAATCGTAGCTACTTTTATTACCAGCAGGCCGTTAGTTTCACAGAGGAAGGAGTTTCTACAGGTGGTGATCTAGTCTCTGGTTCCACCTTTCACTCTCTTACCTGTGGCCTTGGGCACATCATTTAATCTGTCTTTAAAGCTATTTCCCACATTCATAAACCACGTGGGCGAGTGAAAATAATTCAACCCTTTCTTTTTTCCCAAATAGAAAAATACTTGAGATTTTAGCACTGATCCATCAGAGAAGCCTCACTGGAAAACCTGTGCAGGAACGAAAACTTGGTACCGTTCACTATCCTCAAGCTTATAGAATTAAAAAGTAACAGACATAATAGGCATAAATACTCAGAAAACATGGACATGTCTCATGTCAAATAAGAACAGAAAGTTGGTGTGTAAAAAATGTGAATTAACTGTCAATATATAAAACACAGAATACTGACTGTTTTTAAAAAGAATTGTTTATTTACTGAACCTGGGGCATATTAGATACAACCAATTTTAAATTTACATATTTTAAGTCAATTTTGAAGTGTTTCACACACAAAAAAAAAACTGGTATGCAACAGTTGTCCTAAGGTGAAAGTCACCTCATTAATAAACTGTTGCAAGTGTTCTCACCCAAGGTGGAAAAACTGCTTATCCTGAACATGAAAACCTGTAACAAATTTAAATTAATTATATAAAACTCGTTACTTGTAGTCTTCCCCTTACAAAGATCAAAAAAAAAAAAAATGTACAAGTAACTAATATATATCAGTCACAACATAATCCTGGATCATCCCCATACCGAAACCAGATGCTCTTTTAATTTTAAACCCATCATCAGAGAACAAGAGAAAGTCATTTCATTTTACACAAAACAAGATTCACATGTGCCAAAAAAGAAAGACCCAAGAAAAACAAAAACCCAAACCCTAATGCTGACACTGATGTTCAGTGCCCTAAACAGTGGCCCAAAGGCCACTGATCAAAAATAAAATAGTGGCTGTATATCACTGCAATGAAATCCAAGAGGCTTTAACCCTTTGGCATCAGAAATCTGGATTTTTCCAATTATGTAAATGTTTATTTCCTACATGCCAAACGAGTGGGGGAAGTGAATGTGCCAGTGTGGAAAGAAAAAGAGCCACCACTCACTGGGACACTCAGAGAATTGGCTTTAACAGACAATTAGAAGGTTAGACAGAAACCCAAAAATGGTTATTAGCTGCTTGTGTCATCAATTTAAGTGGAGATGATTAAGTCCTAAGGTACAATGTAAAAATGTGTGCGGGAAAATGTATGCTGAGTCGTACTTTTAAAGCAAAAGAAGAAAACAAAATATGAAAGTACCCAGCCTGGCGGCATACGCCCAAGTCAGAGAGCTCTGCCATTAGGATGGGCAGAAACCGTCAAGATTCATACTGTTGTTTCTCATAAAGACTCAACAAAATGAATCTGTAGTGACTTGAACCACAGACTGAGGGAATCCAAAGAATGCAGTCATTTTAGTAAAGTACTATGAGGCTTTGTGCTGATTTCCTGAACAAACTGCATTATATTATGAAAACACAAGTAAAAGAAGTAATAACTATACTCCCATATTTCACTTACAGTGTTTGAGTTCCTGGAAGGACCTATATAATGGAGGCAGCATTCAAACAAGAAATTATGCCAATCAACTGTCAAATTTGCACTATAATTTTCCTAAAAAGGTGTTTTTCCCCCAATATCTATTCATCACAAAGAAACATAAATTGTGAATGTACAGTTCAGAAAATAAAAATGGAGAAACTAATGACATTATTATGACCAA